CGTGATCCTACGATGTGCTGATCCAACTTCAGCAACCGCGCGCGAGTCGATTTCACCGCTCCGTCTCCTGGGCGGTACGAACGCTCTCCCACGCGTTCCATTCCTTGGCTGCCAATCCGTCGTGATTCTTGACCCTTGGCCATCACTCCTTCGAGCGACGCATCCTGCCCCAAGTCTCGCTCACTTTTCTTAACGGTCGGAACGATGTCTCTAATCCGCATTGCGCTGCACTTTCAGATGCGCTTCCGCAGCCCGTCTGGAAGGCTCTTCCTTCCGATATTAGGAAGCCACTGAGAAGCTATCCACTTTTAAATCACCTGGATTGAAAACTAATTTCTTAAGAACTGCTTGTTTGTGTTTTCAAGTTTGTTGTCCTTTCCCCCACACCTCCTATTAGCACGGATAGCTACGTACGGTGCGAAAGAAGTTCAACATATGTACATAACCTGCGTGCGCCCTCTGATCCACACGTTCCTCTATCCCAGCATAAATCACGGTGGAAGTCCGACGCATCCCCCAGACACAAACGGGGGCCGAGCGTGAACGCCCCGAGACACCCAGGGAGCAACAGGAACATGTTACATGCCAACAGCGTCAGCACATCAATCTTGACTCTAAAAAATAACCAACAGTGGACACAACGCGAGCTCCAGGGGAGGCATAACGCCGACGCAACTTGCGTCGGGATCTGAAGGGAGCCAGCCGCGACCCAAAGACACAACAGGATAGGTTTCAAACTCTAGCAATTAATATCTCTCCCCCCCCTGCCCCACCCCGCCTTGCCCCCTCAACCTCACAGCGTTTCCTCTACAAGTAACATTTATTGTGGTCTCACGTGTGCGGTTTGAAAAAAATAAAAAAGCTAAAAAATCGTCTGCCACCGGCCACCCAGCCTCAACGCCTGTCAAAATATTTTGTCTGGGGTCCAGGGCCTCGAGCTTCAGAAAGCCCCACGGCCGGGGTCGTTGGCCCTCCGGGGGTCAGACCACGTTCAGGAAGGGCTGTCTGAAACCAGGAGCTGACGAAATGTCGCGGGTTTCTCTCAGGCTGCCGCTGATAAACAATATGGGACGCCGTCTTGAAAGTGACGGGTTCGTTAATCATTGTCATCAGCATCGAAGGCAACCTAAGGGCAACTTTGCCCTTAAGATATGTTCTGCAAACGGCCACAGACCTGTAATGAGACACCAACCTAGGCTCTACTCAATATTAATAAGTACGTAAGTCTGAAAGCCTGTTATCACGCACTCTTATAAGTCCAGCCCATCACGAATGTGCCGCGCTGATCACACGCAGCGTAAGCTATTTGGAATAATAACAACACTCCTTTTAAGTCCGTCGCAAAACAGTCTCCCACTCAAGAATGGATCCTGAGCATCTTCCGTAAACTGGTTCCTGCTCTTCGGGCCGGAGACCCCGGTTAAACTGGACTGGCTGTGTCGTCGGGTAACAGCAACAGATCAACATGGGCTGTGGATCGTAAATGGCATTGACTGTGGTCCACTGAGGCCGCCGGTACTACACAACTGCTCGCTGAGAGGAGACGGAGCGGATTGATGCAGGCTGTTGTTGACGAGGTTCGGTCGCCAATGCAATTCGTCTCGTATCATGGTCCTGATATTAGGGCTTACACACTAGTAACTTTCGAGTTGCAGAGCATAGAGACGCAACCGTTTCCTAGTTGGATAATTTTGCGTCCAATTGTGCAGCTACAGTGTCAACTTCGAGCTTTAATACCACTACGTACTTTCACGACTAATGTTAAGATTCATATTCGGTTTATTGGTTGGGTTAGATTGTGAAGCTATAATGTCAGTCTGAGCTCTGAATTCTCCACTGCCTGACACAGCCAAACCAAGTCAAGTTGTCGCGTGGGCAAATGTGACCCGATTGGTTTTCTTTTCAGCAAAACTGGCTTTTGTTTGGCCTTTTCGGGTGGTGGAGGGTTCACCCTTTCCTGTTCCGATGACGTACGTGCATATCATCGAAACAAAACCGCAAAAAAAACTCAACTAAAATAACTTTATCACTTGCGAGGCTCCCACAAGGCCATGCGGGAGGGCAAGTGGCACAGTTTGGCGCCAGCTATCATAGAGCGCAGTCGTGTCGTTTCGGTTCTCAACGGCGCTACGCCTCTCGAAACTAAATTAACGTTGAGCTGCTTGCGCGTTCTGAGATTTAGAGGTGCGCGGGACCCACCCCTTGCATCTTGCAGACATCTCAGAACGGGAAAGGGTTAAATACAAGTGCGCGTCTCTTGACGCTGTACAAAAAGCGGGACGTGTACATTTTCTCGGGGGGGATGAACCAGGAGCACACACCATGCGTGACTGAGCGTTTCAAAATACTGCGGCTTCGTAGTGGTGGAGTCAGTTATGTTTAAACAGCATTCTAGCGGCAGTGTTTGAGGGAGCATGCTTCCAATTCTTGAAGGGATACTGCACATTAGCCAGAACGTTCCAACAACAATCTTGACATGGAAAATCGACTTAAGTTGGTCATGCAACTCGGGCCACTTTGGGTCAAGAGCTAAGTCAAAGCCACGTTAATTGTCAGTAAATTAATTTAATCGCTGTACATTCTTTATTTGGTGGAGCGTTGGCACAGTGGTTAGTGCACTATGCTACGAACTCCGTGACCTGAATTCGGTATCCCGGCCATGGCTAACATCAGTGGCGAGTGATATGTGAACCGGTCCTGCCTCCCCCCACCATCACCAACTAACACGACCAGCGTGGTGAAGTATGGCCAAACAACCCCAATGATTGACAAGGCACGGTGGGGGGGGGAGGCCTTAATCCAGCAGTGGCTTGACAAAGTGCTGAAAAATTTACCCAAGTATTTTTACTTTGTTATGAAACAGCAACGGGTTAAACGGCACTTTGCGTTGCGCCGTACCGACAATCGGCAGCGCTTCTAAAGAGGCGGTTGGTTGAATTGTGGGCATCACGAAGACAAGCGGAGCTAATATAACGCTCGGAGCGCCGCGAGACCTCGATTGCCAGCGGCGAAGTGTAATTGACAGCAGAGACTTAACCCGGGGGGGGGGGGGGGGGGGGGGGTCTGAGCCGTGGACTTCAGCAGGTGAACTTCTCGTCGTCTCAAGACACGGCCGTGCGCGCACGCACACACGCTGCCTCTGGGAATCCATGTCTCCATTATCTACAAAATCTAAACATTTGAAAGCAATACCACGAGGGGTTTCTGTTGGCCCGGCTTGAATTGAACAAGCTACAAGCATTCCTTTCCTTCTCCGCGGACTGAACTTAAAGTGCTTTTGTCAGGATATCCTGTGTACGCCGGAAAAAAAAAATTGCACGTGTTATATCTCTGACCTGCGTTGCACTGGGAGATCTGCTTAGATGCCGGCCTCTGCACGTGACAAACCAAAGCTTGAGCCGAGTGGTGCACATTTCCGGCAATGATGAATGCACATCGTATGCCCATAGCCCTGTTTTCCGTACACCGCTCCGTGAAAAACTCGCCCCCCCTCCCCCCCCCAATGATGCGTCGGTCACCACGGGAGGGGGTGGGGGGGGAAGTTGTTTGACCATACTTCACCACGACGGTCGGTGTGTGATGGTGATAACACGCTGGAGATGTCGACCTCGGGCCGCCAAGTTTGCAGCGCAGTGCACCCAACCGCTCTGCCACCACTCCACCCCAACAGATGTCAAAAAAATTGTCCATCTCTCTCGCAAGATAATGAATCGGGCGATGCATCTTCCTTCACATATCCGTCCATCGACGTAAAACATCAGCATTGTTTTAAGACAAGCAAACTCCGGACTGGTTTTGACATACAATGTCTAAATCAGCAGAGCACTATTGCAGAACAGTGGTCTTTTCGCAGTGTGATCAGACTTGCATTTACTGCTCACCATAACCCTGGCCAAGTACGAGCGGCTGACAGTGATTATTAACCGTAAGCACCTCTGCAGTGCGCCGATAATCACGTGCAAATGCAAGAGGTCAGGTGGGGATATCTGCATTTATAATTTTTAGTAATGGGTCTAAATTATAATTTAGTCCTGCATTCGTTTTACATGATACTGCCTGGGGTGCGATGTCGTGTATTTTACACGTTCTCAGTGTTGGCCACCCACGTGTTCATTACGTGTCACGTAATGTGCCCCGAGATGCCTTTATCTGATGCGAAGTGCGCAATATGAAGAAACAAAACACCATCGGTGATGCAGCTGCTGCTGCCGCCGCTGCTGCATTGACAGCAGTGCGTGAGCACAAATTGCAACCACGACCCAGCACGTCCGTCAATAACATTGTGGCTTCCCGAACAAGAACCGGACTGAAGACCCAGCGAAGAAGCAGCCCTGGGTCCTCTCTGCAGAGCCAATGACAGTTGGGACCACTCCCAACTGCGCCCGACAACGTAGAGAACCACTCGAGGAGGATGAAGGGATGTGGGATATTTCCTCCATAGATGAAAAGGGTGCAGATCATCAGGCGTTTATCACCAAAGACTGCCCCAATACAACGCACGTACTCTGGTGGAATGAGTGGACTTCACTCAGCTACACCAATACAACGCGCGGACTTTGTGTGTGAGGGGTTGTGTGAGGGGTTGTGTGAGAGGCTGTTGTTGTGTAAGGGATTTGTATGTAGTGGGTTGTTGTGTGAGGGTTGTTGTTATGAGGGATTTGTATGTAACGGATTGTTGTGTGAGGGTTGTTGTTGTGAGGGATTTGTATATAATGGGTTGTTGTGTGAGGGTTGTTGTTATGAGGGATTTGCATGTAATGGGTTGTTGTGTGAGGGTTGTTGTTATGAAGGATTTGTATGTAACGGATTGTTGTGTGAGGGTTGTTGTTATGAGGGATTTGCATGTAATGGGTTGTTGTGTGAGGGTTGTTGTTATGAGGGATTTGCGTGTAACGGGTTGTTGTGTGTGGGGTTGTTGCGACAAGCGAGGTGTGCCGGGAGAGGTGCGTGGTGGGTGATGAGTATCGAGAATGGGGATGTGTGTGGTGGGGGGCTCTTACTGCCGCTGGAGCGCTTGCTTGACGGGGAAGCGCTTTCCGCAGCTGCGGCAGCGGAAGTCCTTCTCCTCGGGGCCGCGCTGGTGCAGCGTCTGCACGTGCTCAGCCAGGACGCTGGCGCTGGGGAAGCTGCTTTCGCACTGCGGGCACGCGTGGCAGCCTGGGCCTACGAGAGACGCAGCATCGGCAAGCGGCCCCGTCGTGATCCTCCTCATCGTACACAGACGCACGAGATTGGCGGAACTCGTGGAGTTTGCGTTCGACGTCGCTTCGAGCGTTGAACGGCGTTCTAACGGAGTGCTCTTTGCCGATAACATCGGGCAACCCAGCAGCATTTGTGTCACACGCTTGGCTGACGAAACGCAGAAGGTTGTAAAACGGTCCACACTTTGCTTGCTGAAAACAAATTATGCTGGGTAAAAAATATCGGTCTGCAGAGCCAATAGGTCCGATGGACTAAACACTCTTGCGGAGGCGAGGGTTGGTGAATCACACAAATGTTGTGAAACTCCCCTCCCGTGGCTTGCTCGGATAAGTCGATACAGAAAAACGTGCACTGATATGATCTGTCCCATCTGTATAGGAATAGAGTGTTGCTCTCTGGCACGCGTGGGTTTTCTCCAATTGATCCGGTATCCTCCCACATGTCAAGACTCATGAATTGGCCGTGAACCACTTTATATATAGTGGACCACAGAGGTTGGACAATGATCGTCGCTGGGTCACCGCGTGGCTGCCTTCCTATTTGGTTTCTCCACGCGCCTCTTCGAGAGGGAGGGATACCGTTGCAAGTTGAAATTAGTATATTACGATAATGCTTATGGCGAACAGCGGTTCCCAAACTCTGGTAGTGGTAACAAAAGAAAAAGCTGGCAGTTAGGCTTGTTGAAAACTTTTTCGTGAGTTGGTTTTCCGTATGCGCATTAGAGACCCGATGCACAGAACTATTCAAACCAACTAAAGTACATTCCAGTCACTGTCAATCCACTGGTGGATGTAAGCCTGCCCATGCCATGTTTGTGAGGGATTTTACTTTTGACTCTACTTCACCACGCTGGTGACAGAGGGCCAACGGTGAGAATGCTTGAGAAGAGCGGAAAGTGCGAAGGGCAGATCCACGGCAATCGATAAACGCCCGTTTAAAAAGCGACCGTGCAAACGATTCACTCATATTGATATGAAAAAAATAACAACCCTCAACACGTTTGTCAATAATTGTGCTTCGTGCACCGCCGCCAATGCAGCAGCAGCAGCACCACCAAATCATTTGTCTCACTTTGATTTGGCAGGAGGTGCGGCCGTGTTCATTGTTTGAAAACTTCCTGAACACAAAAAAAGGACTCCAAAATTGAGCACTACAGAATGCAAACATTGGGAATGATTACACTGACGGTAGCTCGCTATCAGCCACTTTTTATATCGCTATCAGCCCTTCAGGAATTGCTGATAGCGATTTGCAAACTGTGGCAGGGTCTGATAAGCACGGTGGGCTATGCGCGGTGCGAAATAAAACATACACGCATACAGAGGACATCCTGTACGAGCTCCACGGGTTGTCAAAAAACGGGCCGTAAATTAACCCCGTCACGACCTCGTGACTTTTGGAACAAACTTCGCAGACCAGCAGGAAGACGTGTGCACCACGGACCTTCTCTTGCTCATATTAATAGCCACGTGTTTACACCAATGAGGGAATTGTTTGAATAATACACACGCACAATGCCCGTAAATAGCCTTTGGGTTCCACAGCGTGATCTGTTTATAGATGCCCCGCGAAAATAATAGGGTAATACGTAATACTATGATCGTCGAATTAATACAATGCAAACGCAAACGATATGCCTCTTTCACGTGACTGTGCCTCCACATACAACTTTAACATGTTTTTATACACATCCCTATCGATCATAGGGCAATTCTGGGAGTGCAAGATATATTGAGTCCATCAGTCTATTGGCATTCCCGACCAATATTATGCAGCAGCATTGGTTCAACACAATCTCCAGGCTGGTTTCGAGGTTACATGGTGTCTCATCAGCAGTGTCAGGCTTGCTTGAACCCTGCTGTGTGAACTGTCAAATGTCCACATCTGGCAGTTCACACCCGTGTGTTGGAGGCCAAACCTACAGCGTTTACAATTGACACATTTTGTTTACGTGACAAACCTTACTAATTGGCTGTGTCGGGTGGTGGTGAGTTTATGACACATTCGTATTTACGTGATCTAACCCCAAAACGCTATCAAACCAAACAAAACGTTTTATTTTACCACGCAAGGCCCACTGAGCTGTTTAGCTCTTTAATCAGAAGCGACCTGGACACAAATGATATCTCAATTAAGTGGATTATCATATCGAAATTTATATTAATTTTGGATTTTCATATCGAAATGTAAAGCAGCCAAATTCTCCAATTGCATAAATGTGAAGGGAAAAACCGAAGGACCCAGAGAAAAGCCACGTGACCACGAGGAGAACGTACAAACTCCAAACATACAGGAGGTTGGAATCGAACCCACCCACCCACTCACCCCCGCCTCCACTGGGCTCTCATCCACAAACTCCACGTTCTCGACTGCACAGCCTCAAACCTTTCCCGTTGACGAGCAGCGCTAAAGCCTGCGCAGTTGCCTCAAGTGTAACATGTCGACAAATCCGTCCCTTCGTCATCATCACGTCGGGATTGTGGTCTGAGATGTGACCGAATTGACTCATTTCTTTGTTTGTGATCATGTTTTGTTGTTTGTGATTTGTTCTTCTTTTGGTGCCATTTTTTATTTGTTTATTTACTTACTTGGGTTTTCATTTCGTGTGCGTATTGGGCTTCTTTCGTGCCGTGCGTAAACAATCGAGTATATGGGATTTGGTCCTTATATGTAATTCATGTACAGCGCTTTGGGATGCTGTTGGCATGAATTAAGCAATATAAAATGAATGCATTATTCGCAGCCATGTAACAAATACATCCAGGCCCTGCTGCACGAGTCGATTTCGACGCTCGATCTGACTTGCCGGATGTCCCCTCGGACGTGTTCCGTTCCCCGGCTGCCACTCCGTGACAAGCGTGTGGCACGTTAAACAAATGCCCCCTTCATGGGAGCTCTCAATGACGCAGGGCAAAATGCGGCAGATCACGTGGCGAACTTTGCGAGTGGCAGCCGAGGAATTGGAATGTGTCCGAGAGTGCCGCCACTAAGGAGACTCAACGATGAAATCAGCTCGTGTCTGTCGGTGTCAGGTAGAATGTGAGACACTCATACATTGGCTGAAAACATCTTAATATACAGGGCGTTGTCGACCTTGGGAAATTGTTGGCACTGTCTCAACCCATTTGTGTGTGGTTCCTCACGCCTCCGAGTCATTAAATCTCTCTCTTGAGATAGAGGCAGAGCGGCACAGCAAGTAAATACCGTGCCTCTAACAACTTTTCAATGATTATATTCCTACATCACCGGACCGCAAGAGATTATATTATATCGCGACAGCTTGGGGGAGGCCTTCATTCAGTTCATCCAGCAAAGGATTGACCATGGCCAACGGCTGGTGATCGAGGAGATTATTTTTATATGACTGGGAGGGGGAGAGAGGGGGGGGGGGCGACTTCTCACGCTTTTCCGCGTTTCCGAGAGCCTTGGCAGAAGACGCACTCCGTGGACGACAGCGCAGGGGGAGTTTCTGGGGAAGTGGCCGCACGCACGAGACACGCTTTCTGTTGTGATTGAAAGCAGGGCCCGGCTCTTCCGGCTCTTCCGGCTCTTTTGGCGGAATGTCGCACGCCGACTCGCGGGACACGCCACCGCTGCAGCGGCATCGGCGGCATCGCCACATCGGCGGAGCGGTGGATGTGGATTTTCAACAAAAGTTTGTTTCCTGCGCATAATTAGCCTGGCACTCGGCCAGGAGGCTATCTTTCCTTTTTTTGCTAGTTATTGCGGATAAAAATCTGAATGGATTCAAAGCAGGCGTGGCGCACGTGCACATCAAAGCGACGGACGTAACGGGAGCCCCAGTGTTGGTCTGATAATTCCAAATAAATAAAAACCAAAGTTTGACAGATTTTCAACAAAGACAAGGCAGACACCGCGAGCCGGGTTTGCGGATATTTCTCTCGGGAGGACACATTCGTAACTCCGGTCATTCCCACGTCGGTGTACGCATCGTGCCGAGTGACACCGCCGCGTGGGTTTTCGCGGTCGCACTGCCGTGCAGCTTTCTGCCACTGCTCTTTCCCGGTTATGCCGCACGTCGCTCAGTTGCGGGGGCTTCAGACGTTTCGCTCCACGTGCCTCGGCAGCTTCTTGACTCGAAACGAAACGTCGGACATTGCGCCCAACAGCGTGCGGTACAACCTCCCGAAAACATGCCAGAGGACCGCCATGGCGAGTGTCCGACGACGTTCTACGGTGACATCGCGTGCCGGTGTCTCTGTGTCAACCGCTGCGCTCTCGTGCGTCAGATTTTGTGTTGTTCATGTGCCGGAAGGCGCGCGGCAGATTTTGACTTCACAAATTCACGACAACGCAATTTGTGCGCACACTATCAATTGTGTCGCTCAAAATGTCAAGCTATCCAACGGCTTTGTTCAGCCACTCCAAAGGGTTCCTTATTGAATTGTAATTTTGGTGACGTTTTATTTACGTGAAATGTGGTGGAGGGGAGGGGCACTGTGACGAGATGTTAACGACCTCGCCTAGTATACAGGGTGTCGTGGGTTCAATCCAGATCCTGAGCCTGTATATTTGGAGTTTGCCTGTTCTCTCTGTGGTCATGTGGAGTTTTCTCCAGATCCTCCGGTTTTTTCATCCACACTTATAAACATGCGTGTAGAGTAGTTGCCTGCTATAAATGTCCATATGATAAGCCACTTCGTTGAAATATCGTTTGTGGTCAGGTCGCTTCTGAAAAAGAGCTATGTAGCTAAGTGGGCCTTACCTGGTAAAATAAAAAAAAAATTGTACTTAATCCGTTTCCACAGAAATCAAGATCCTGAAATAGAGGGCCGCACTTATTGAAATCAGGATCAAGATGTCATCGTGGTCAAAGCTGTTGATACCACCACCGTACCTCGCCAATCGTTTGCTACCCTCCACCAGATTTTCACCAGATTCCAGGCAGATCCAAGACCTGCCCTGATTAGTTTCCCACCATCTGCTCTTCGGTTTGCCGTACATCAGCGTGTATATCAAAACAGCGCGGTATACGTTGGCGAACGGTAGCAGTTTCCTTCCTCTGAAGGAAACGAAATACGTTTTTTTTATTTGAATGAGGTCCAATTAGCATTTTAACCATGCAGCAAACTTCCACAGAGATTCATCGTAAAAATAAAATAAACTGGCGTGCAGCTTACAGTTTCAGCTCCGTTTCTGTTTCCTTCTAGATTATAAATTATTTGCAGAAAAAGAACTAAAAATAAATAAACAATCGTGTACACGATCACGACTTCTGTAACACTTCCCAACGTGCGTCTCGTCCTCGGGAGCATTTCGTTCAGCGGTGGTGATTACATGTAAATGTTGTGGGTTTACTCTCCAACACACCGGTGTGCTGTACTAGTAACGGATTGGCATGTTTTTTTACATTACAAACCTTAGTAATTGGCTGTGTCGGGTGGTGGCGGGTTTTACGGCACATTTATATTTACACAATCATAACCTAAAACATCTATATTACAGTTAATTGTGATTCTTAAATGTTGATCGTTTTAATGTTAGGTTATAAACACTTAGTATGTGCTGGGTGAAATGTGGGCTAAGTTTTGCCCAATCCTGGCCCAGGTGGCTGAAATATTAAATTAAATAAACGAATCCAATGATGCTTTTAAATGTATGTATGTTGAACTTCTTTTGCACTGTACATAGCCAACCGTGCTAATCGGAGGTGCGGGGGAAGGACAACAAACTAAACACAAAAATAAATTCTAAATAAATTAGTTTTCAATCGAGATTTCAAAGTGCATCTTTCGCTCCAGTGGCTTCCTAATATTGGAAGCAAGAGCGTTAGAGGCGGCCGCAGAAGCGCAGATGAAAGAGTGCGATGCAGTGACCGTCTTTGTTCGATGGCGAGCCAAAAGCCGGTAAAAGCCACTGCGAGGATGTTTTATGAACGTTTCGTGAAAGTTGTTGGATCGAAGGTCATTGGGCTAAAGCGCGGTCTTTACGATTATGCTTGGCGGGGAATGTGGCCGGTTTTCTCGACGGCAAGTTTCCAAATAGCATCACGGCTTTTCACGCTGACGTTTTGCTCGTCCTGGATCATCTTTGTGAGAGTCACCGTGCCCACCGTTACAGAGAGGACACCGATAATACATTCAACCCGAGTTGGACAGCAGTAAAATGAAGTAGCCATTACATTTAAGCAAAAAAACTTAAATACCAAACTAGAAAATCACAGCATTACGCATTGGGATCCTAAGATGGAATGGGTATTATAAATTTGAATAATTCATACGCAGAATTTTCTGTATTTTCGTTATTAAATTTACCCTCGTTGCACCAGACTCTCAGACAAAGCGACGTCTACCGGAGAGGCTCCCTACTAATCTGCAAGCAGAGGGCAGGCCCTGTGCGAGGCCCAGGGATTTACTCCAGCTCTTTCAAACTCCCATGCCAGCACGGAACGACACGGATAATTTGAGGGTGGCTGCACAGGAGGTTGCTTAAATGAAATCCACACTTTTAGCGAAGATCAAAGACACAAATTATAAGGGGGACAAAAGCGCCCCGACGCTAAATAAACGTGGGCTCGAGCTCCAAATCCACGCGAATCCATAATCAAGGCTCAACGCATACCTCTCTCCAAAGGCTCTTTGAGCCGTTCCTCTTCCTCTCTCCTGATTGGCTCTTCATCACGCAGCTCCTCCCCCTCCTCAGTGTCGCTGTCCAGGTAGCCAATCAGAAGCTCCTCGTCGGTCTCTATTTCATCCACAGCCAAGTAGAAAATGTTCTCTCCCTCCTAGGAAATTATCACATCTCAGCGAGCGCAGTGGCGGACACACAGACCAAAGAGGGAAGAACAACAATTAACATTTTAGTACATTTGGGTGGCGCAGTGCCTCACAAGTAAGAAGCTCCTGGGTTTGATTCCCGACTCGAGCTCTTTTCTGCGTGGTCTTTGTACGCTATTCTGTATGGGATTTCTCCAGGTTCTTCGGTTTCCTCCCATAGCTAATTTAAAAAAAAACAATACAATGTTACCGGTATTGGCCAAACATCCAAATGCTGAAAATTTACCTGAAAAATTGCCTCGACGCCCATAGGAATCGAGTTTCGCAGCGTCTGCGCGATGCACCAACCCTCGACTCCACCGTGCTGGTATTACAGGGCGTGCATGGCCATCACCACCAGGCGCTCAATAACTGCACTCAATTGTCAAGATCAAAGCCACATAACCATCGGGAAATTAAAGAGAGGGTACTTTTTTGTTTTAAACGTGGCCCCTGGGCATGCTGACCTCGACTGAGTCACTCGCAGACACTGGCAGCTTCTCCCAACCGTGAGTCATTTCCTGATCGTTTGTCAAAAAAAAAAACATGGACGGTGCTTGACATTTGATCTATTCGTTACGAATTGTATCCCTGACGGAGAAACATTTCATGCAAGGATTATTTTCTATGGGGCATTGTGAGAGGACTCGAAAGGATCGCAACAAATGCCACTGGAAAATATCGTTCCCGGAAGACTCGTCGTAAGCTAGTGGAGTAAACACGATTACATTGATTTAATTTGTTCGTGGAGGGACCGACTTTGTGTTAATGCTGCTGCCTGTGGTTAGTGCACATTAACCACAGGCAGCAGCAGCAGTAGCAGTCAGGAATAATGCAATGACCCATATCTGGGTGCTAAACTATCCAACTGCCGACTCCCACACTCCTACATTCCCAATGGCAACGATTGCGAGCGGAGGTGAACGGAGATGTAGAGTGGGACACCGGTGCTCCCACGTGAACTCAATAAAGCCACACCTCGATTGGGCAGTGAACGGTAATGCCGAGGTTGAGCCATGCCGCGCGTGGCACCCGGTGGCTTTGAAGAAAAAGCGTGCGTGTAAAAGCATCGCTCACTCGCTCGCTCCACCGCAACAACGATCCTGGCCCGCCGCCATTCAAGCACCGGGGGGATAACTTTACGAAGCGCTCGGGGGGGAGTGGGGGGCTGCGTCCCATTGAAGGCGCTGCGTCTCATTATGCAGCAGCCTCTCTGCAAAGTGCAACAGCACATTCACGCCGCCGTGGAGTAGGACGACACGTTCACACACACACACACGACCAAAAACAGAGCCAGCGGTTGTTTCCATTGTGCATATCGCCAGCCGACCCCACCCCCAACACCCCCCCCGCCGCCCCACACTTCCATGGAATGGAAATCCGTAGCGAGAGAGCACCCGACGAACAGTACACAGCAATATTCTTCGGTCTTTCGGTAAAGTCACGTAGATAGGTTCAAAGAAAATAACAAAGAATAACCTATCTACGTGACTTTACCCAAAGACCCAAGAATAGGAATTCCTGCAGTCACGAAAGCTATAAGTCAAGTACACAGCAATAACTCAAACTATGAACCATTATTTTATATTTTGCCAGGTAAGGCCCACTGATACTATAAAACGATTTTCAGAAGCCACCTGGCCACAAGTGATGAGCTCAACGAAGTGGCTTATCACGTGCAAATGCCTTTTTCATAGCATAAAGCCCACGACCGCAGGTCTGGCTCAAGAGCGAGTCCGCTGATGGATTACTGCTCTGGCAAAACGTAGAAAGTGTAAGCAGCAGTACTACATTACCGCGGTAAAATTTAACGCGCGTGGCAGAATATTGCGAGCACCTGTGACCGCTTTGCATGCGCACGCGCGCGTGTGCACGTGCATGCGTCCGTGCGCACGCGTGAGTTACGGGAGAGCGTTGGCGTTCTCTCGAACCGGCCGCGTGAACGTTCGTGCAGTTACAGAAGTGCCCCCGGTTGCGCTTCGTAAAGACTGAGCTGGATAAGTGTTCTGCAAGTCCATCATGAACGTAAGTACCAGCAGAGAGTTCCACAACTAGGGTTCCCAGCAGAGAGTTCTAGAACCAGGGGTGTCAGCAGAGAGTTCCACAACCAGCGGTACCAGTGGAGAGTTCCACAACCAGGGGTACCAGTGGAAAGTTCTACAACCAGGGGTACCAGTGGAGAGTTCCACGACCAGGGGTACCAGTGGAGAGTTCTACAACCAGGGGTACCAGCAAAGAGTTCGACAACCTGGGAGGCCACGACAGTAAACGCCGATCACCACAAGAACATGACCACCATCGAGGTTCTCGTAGGAGGGCACCATCGTCAGGTATTAAACACCTTTAAAGGGACGTGACATTGCATCGGCTGCGGGATATTAGGTGGAGCTCGCCGCCGTAAAGCCTTAAATACAAGCAGCAGGGTATCTCACGTTCCGCACATCGAGAAACAACACAGGGAACTAGTGCAACTATGCAAGAATAGGAGAGGTTAAGTGCAGTGCAGTGTCGTGTATTCGATTAGCACGGTTGGCCACATACTGTGCGAAAGACGTTCAACGAACATACAAGGTATAGGCGGATATGTGAAAAGGTCGGATATCTGAACTTAGATACAATCTACTCTCACACCGCCGTGCACAAATGCCGCAGTGGGTAGATGGTGGTGAATTGGTCAAGGCGGATATGTGAGGATTGGATGGATGCGACGTTGTACTATATTTAGAAATAAATTAATAAAGTATAGTACCTCTTCTTTGCCGATTACTGAAAATATTGTAGACATTCTTCGAATCAACTCAAGATTACTGAGGCTCAGTGTGTAGAATGTCAAGCTCAAGACTTGAAAATCCGTAGCAATGCGAGGTGACATGCATGCGCATATAATAAGTGTACAAGGCACATATTTGAAATACTGGAAGATAAAACAAAATCATCCTTAGCGTCGGTGTCGAGAATGTAAGTAACTAAATTAATATATGAATAGTACATACATCTCCTGTCCCTCCATATAAAATAAAATAAAACATTAATAACTCATCCAATCAGCCATACGGCCTTCTGGAAGTACATTAATACCCCAATTTACGTGGGGGTGCGTTCCTGAAAGGCGAATATCGAAACGACGTCAATCAAAGCGATTCACAGGCGAGTAGGTGGTGGAGGCGAGGGCTGAGAGGCGACGGATAACGAGAGAGCACGGACGATGCCGACAGCCACGTGAGTGTGGGTTGAGGTGACGCACATCGGGCAGTGGCGTTAACAAAGTGACGCAGATCGGGGTATTGCGAAACATCATTTCAGCAACGTTGGTTCAACGCGAGCAAACTGTGGACCGGCTTCGACATACATTAGCCGACACTCCCAGAAGGCTGTGCGGCTCATGGGATGTGTAAAAACACACATCTGTGAAGGAGGAAAGGATGCTGCATGCTTATTAAGACTATAGACTATTGTTATTTTACCATGTAAGGTCAAATGAGCTATATAGCTAATTTTCAGAAGTGACCTGGCCACAAATGATAGGTCAACGAAGTGGCTTATCACGTGGGAGTTTATAACAGCCAAATACTCTGAACACAGGTTTCTGAATGTGGAGGGAAAAGCCAGAGGACCCAGAGAAAACTCCACACGACCACGGGGCAAATACGCAAACTCCAAATATACAGCAGGCGTCAGGGTCGGGATCGACTGTGACCTCCCGTATACTGGGTGAGGCAGTTAATATCTCGCCACCGACAAAATTTCGCGACGAGTCTCTTGTCAAAACCTGAAGGACGGTGTTCTGAGTAGGTCCTCCACGTCACTATCACCGCAATTGCGGGCACACGTAGGATTTCCCGATGCACCGTCATGAGGGGCAGTGGGCGCGTATCGTGAGCAGCGTTGTACCTGAATGGCGGCAAGGTTCTTCTGGTCCTGTGTCGGGGCCTGATGCACGAAGCGCAGCCAGTTCGCGTGACGGGGGTTGCTGGCATCGAGCACGAACAGAGTCTCCCCATCCACGCTCCTCACCTAAACCCACCCAGACACACAGAGAACAGGGTCTACCCATCCACACTCATCACCTGAACCGACCCAGACACACGCAGAGAACAGGGTCTACCCATCCACGCTCTCATCTGAACCCGCCCAGACACACACAGAGAACAGGGTCTACCCATCCAGGCTCTCACCTGAACCCGCCCAGACACACACAGAAACAGGGTCTACCCATCCACGCTCTCACCTGAACCCAACCAGACACACACAGAGAACAGGGTCTACCCATCCACGCTCCTCACCTGAACCCACCCAGACACACACAGAGAACAGGGTCTACCCATCCAGGCTCTCACCTGAACCCGCCCAGACACACACAGAAAACAGGGTCTACCCATCCACGCTCTCACCTGAACCCAACCAGACACACACAGAGAACAGGGTCTACCCATCCACGCTCCTCACCTGAACCCACCCAGACACACACAGAGAACAGGGTCTACCTATCCACACTCTCACCTGAACCCACCCAGACACACACAGAGAACAGGGTCTACCCATCCACACTCATCACCTGAACCCACACAGACACACACAGAGAACAGAGTCTACCCATCCAGGTTCCTCACCTGAACCCGCCCAGACACACACAGAGAACAGGGTCTACCCATCCACACTCATCACCTGAACCCACCCAGACACACACAGAGAACAGGGTCTACCCATCCACACTCATCACCTGAACCCACCCAGACACACACAGAGAACAGGGTCTACCCATCCAGGTTCCTCACCTGAACCCGCCCAGACACACACAGAGAACAGGGTCTACCCATCCACGCTCTCACCTGAACCCACCCAGACACACACAGAGAACAGGGTCTACCCATCCAGGCTCCTCACCTGAACCCACCCAGACACACACAGAGAACAGGGTCTACCCATCCACACTCATCACCTGAACCCACCCAGACACACGCAGAGAACAGGGTCTACCCATCCACACTCTCACCTGAACTCACCCAGACACACACAGAGAACAGGGTCTACCCATCCACACCGGTGAAGCAGAACAGTTCGTTTAAACTTCAAACTAAACATTTCCCCCATTTAATTACAACATATACCATACAGTCTCAAACATTAGGACGCACTTATACATGTATATATGTCGGGATTCAACCCATCAGCCTCGGCATTATCGGGAAGTTATGGAAACTAATTGCAGCCAATCAAAACAACAACGAATGGATTGCGAGTCGAGTGGTGAGATGTTATCTCTCTTTCCAGGTACGCAGGAGGTCGTGTGTTCGATCCCGACCCTGACGCCTCTATATTTGGAGTTTGCACGTTCTCCCCTTGGTCACGTGGATTTTTACTCTGGATTCTCTGGGGTTTACCTTCACATTTAGAAAAATGCGTTTAGATTATTTGGCTGCTATAAATTCCCACGTGATAAGCCACTTAGTTAGCTATCGTTTGTGGCCAGGTTGCGCCTGAAAAAGAGCTGCATAGCTCAGTGGGCTTCACTTGGTAGAATAAAGAATAATAAAAATGAGCATTTTACTGACATAATCAACACATATGATCATACGTGTTGAATATGTTCTTTCACATGACTGGTGTTGGAACTGGGACACATTTGCAGATACTAAAACACGTTCTCCTACAAAGACTTTGAAAGCGTATTTCAAGGATGTGAATGGTTTACATTTAGGGCCTATAGGAAGGGGAGGTCTTGTCGAGTGCTTTCCTGTAGTTGTAAGGTAATTTCCTGAAGTGCTGAAGAAGCTGCTGCGATATTTGTAGAAGCCCTTAGAGTGGCTATCTACTGTGGCCACCTCATACATCCTTCCATGTGCTCTGAAACCACTGAGAACAATATCCCTTGCTGGCTAGGCAACAACAAGAACAGCAAAAATTAAAGTTTGCCGTCCATGTTTGTAGCACGTATGTGTGTGGCTGTGTTGATGTTGGGAGTGCGAGCTTGCATTATTGCATGAGCCACAGAGACAGCTGCTGACAATATGGGGCTTGCTGTGGGCATGGTGACAAGAAGAAACCCCACGGGCATTCACAACAGTCACGGAACAGAATCTGACGAGCAGGCAAAAAACATCCCGGAGATGGGCATGCTTGGAATTACAGTGAGAGACACGCAAAAAAATGATTAAAAGCACATATGCAGTTAAAAAAGACAACATTTTGACCGTTAACAAAAGTACTTAGTGGATTTGGACAGGAGACAGCATTGGAAGGGATGCGAGCAGGTGGTCGAGGCTGACGCTGGAATGCCAGTAAAACGGAGGGAACGCGCTCGGAAATATGTTCACGGTGGAGACGAAGCAATGATGTGAGCTATGGTGAGGCAGACAGACGGGCAACGCTGCGTTGTGAGACCGTGAGAGTTGAGGACGGGAGAAGCTCGTTGGGGGGGAGGCCTTCAACAAGCAGTGAACAAATGTAGACTGATGATGCATGTATGTTGAACTTGTGATTCTTAAATATGGTATTGTTAGTTATAATGTTACGTTTGCCTGAGTGAAATGTGTGGCGAAGTTTTGCCCAATCCTGGCCCAGATGGCTCATAAACGAAACCAATGTTATATAAGTGTATGTTGAACTTCTTTCACACCGCACGTAGTCAATCGTGATAATCGGAAAGTGCACGACAAACTAAACACAAAAAGCACTTAGAAATTAATACATTTTCAATCTAGATGATTTAAAAGTGCATAGATCAATTGGCTATCTAATATTGAAAGATTGAGCGTTCCAGACGGCCGCAGAAGCGCATCTGAAAGCACCCGGTGCGGTGACCGTCTTTGTTCGACGGTTTGCCAAAATAACGCGAAGTTCGGATGACCGGACTTCGCGTGATGGTTTCAAGCTCCGTGACGAGATCAGCAAGCGCAGTCGACCACCACTCTAGGATCTTCTCCATGATGATGATGACGATCTGGTCTCACCTCCCACATGAGCCGAGGGTCCTTGCTGTCATCCATCTCGTTCGGCAGCCGCTTCTCGCCGGCAAACGGACCAAATTTCTCCCCCTTTGCAACGAAAATTCGCACGAAACAAAAACAACAGGTTACAGAGGCGTTCAGGCATCGTAACTGAATGCACTCGAATGCCGCACACGATACAGCCATCAAGTCCGTGCTGCGTCTAGACGTGTGACTTGCGTATTAAGGTCACAAGCGGTGCAAGGTTTAGTTTGTTGTCCTTACCCTGCGCCTCTGAATAGAGCACGGTTGGCTACGTACGGTGCGGAAGAAGTTCGACACACGTGTATGGAAAGCACGCAGAATTGCGTGATTTTTATTTTGAAGAAAAATAAGTTAATACGCGCGGCACTTTTGTCATTCTACTGCTGAATGAAGCCCCCTCCCCCCACGCCTTGTTGGTCATGGGTGTTGTCCAAACATACTTCACCACGCTGGCGAGTGATGTTTGGTGCGGAGAATGCCCTAAGACCAGTGTCAGTATCATTTGCTAAAGATATTGGGCATGGCCAGATATAATCCTCACGTTGGAGTCGTTTTTTTTATGTAACTTGTAGCTTTAGAGAATTTGTACTTTGATTTAGAACCTTATGTGGAATGACCTGCGAAAGTTGTTACGTGAGTTAAGATCTTTTTTTAATTCCATTTAGAAAAGGCAATAATGGTTATCACCAGGGGGAAATAAAGACATCACAAGACCCCAGAAAATAAATGTGGAATTTACACCACTGGCTCATGACTTGCAACGAAGAGCAATGCTCTAAGTCGTTTGCACAGGCAGACAGCATTGCCGAAAGGATGGACTTATCCACTAATATCACATTCTGAAAACAGTCCACCGCTCAATATTTCCTTCATTCCTATGTGTACGTTCGTTTTATTTGTATTTGAATTTTGTCATCACGGTGATGACCCACTCATCCTGGTCTCTTGCGAGTTCTCACCTGCTTAAACAACATCGACTTAACTTGACAAGCTTCACAGTTTATAGCAGCCAAACATAATAACGCGCGTGTTTTTACTGGTAGGGGCATACAAAAAAGAGACGTTGTCTTAGCCACTGCGAGTCCTCTGGTCGATGGTCTCTAACTTTGTGTAACACTCGACGCGAGTTCCGGAGTTCAACAGAACAGAAACTGGAAGTGCCACGCAGCCAACAATCCCACGCCAATTGGCAGAACAAAGACCACAGGGAGGGAGTAGAGCGGACAGATTCGATCTCACGCTTTTCCTCGTCACCGCTGGACATCGGCGTCAAATTTCTCATTAAAAGTCACAGCGATGCTTTTGTCAGTGAATGTTTCGCTTTTCCCGACGTGCGGACGTCAACACGGCGCCGCGTAAACAGAACGCACGTGGCTCGTCCAAAGCAAACAGTGGCCACATTTGCAAAGAGCACAAGTGTATGCGGCGAGGTTTGTTCAAGAGCGAGTGTCTTCTCGCTCACAACTCCACTTGACTCGAGGCCATTGTGCAGCCCTGCGATTGCTTGCTGCACCCACTGCTCGAGAGATACTCTCTCTAGTCTAGCGGGTACTTGGCCTCTTATAATAAGAAGAATGCAATTTTGTAACGAGCACAATATTTCCCCGACACCAATGACTCTGTGTCGCTGAGTTACGGAGCCCAGCTCGGTGTCAATCAAAGCCAGGCGAAAGGAGGTTGAGGACTTTGAGAAAGATGTTGAGGCCTCAGAGGTTAGTGTAGATCGAACGCTGCTGCTGCTGCTGCTGCGAATGTGCAGCGATGATCATGATAGCCGCACTCCAGACCGAGGGGACGGCTACAGAGAAACGAAGTCCAGCAGTAACGCCCCTGGTCCTTGGTGAAGAGGGGAGGATGGAGGTTGTGAGTCTCGCTACGGGGAGTTCAGTGCGGGGTTGGTGGGAGCCGACAGAGAGTTTCACCGGAAGATTTGGGCTCTGGCTTCAGGTCGCGTGCTTACTCGAGTCTACATGTGAGAAATTAAATCATATCGCTAATCCCTTTACTGTAACAATAACCCTCTCACCCCGAACGCTCACTCTTCCTCTGAAAGACTTTCTCTAACCCAATACCAAACTAGGCGGAACCCCGATACAAGCCCTGAAATGTACCATTAACACAGAGAAGTGAGCACGAACCACTTCACATAACCCTGATGTAGGCATTCCAAGGCAGCATGGTCGATTCATAATTTCGCCCTGGGTTCACGGGTCACCACAATGGACTTGCAATCCAAAGATCGCCAATTTTATCTCCCTCGGCAGCAGCTGAAACAGTGGACCGGTGTGGAAGAGTCGGGTACATCGCCTCTGAAGGAAGCTCACGAGAGCCCTCTTACATCCATTAGCAGTGACATGAACAGGCACTTGCAGGGGCTGCGCTTTCACTTGCATGGCTGATGTGTCCTTCGGCTGACGAATGGTTAGACCATCCGTTAAATCGCTCGCAACGTATCTGAAGCGAAGCAGCTTTTGAGGCTGGATAGTACCGATAGGACAGGGTTGTTATAGGATGCTGCGAGGTTACGGTCTGTGCAGCAGAGGGCAGAGCTGTAACAGCCACCGTTGTACGGTGCGTCTATGCTCCCACGTCTTTGCTCACTGCCCTTCAACCCGCACTGACAAAGCGTGTGGTCGGTCCCCATGCGGTGACGAAGTTTACTAAGTCCTTAATAATAAGTATTATTGTCATCATCATCATCAACACGCTTCGCCAGCGTGGTGAAGTATGGTCAACTAGCCACCGCGATGGCCTTGCGTGGGGGAGAGCCACACGTCCAGCAGTGGATTGGCAATAATAGGGCCGTGCACATGTAACAGTCCTTTTGAAAACTACATTTTTGACAAATTGATTTGCGTGTGTGTATTTAGTCTGTTGTCCATCCCCCAAGCACCTCCGATTAGCACGGTCCCCCCGTGTAGCCTTAACAGACTGCTGGGGCAAGTGCTGTTAGCGAGCACCTATGAATGCCGGCACGGCACACGAGGGGGTGGGTGGCCAGCACCACGCCCGGCCGTCTTGGTTCCCCCCAGTGGCGATGTTAACAGACCGCAAAGGTACTCATTTGAGGCTGAGTCGACCTAGGGGAGGTCTAAATAATCGTCACCGGCGTTGACCGCGAGCGGGAATCGAACTCGGGTCGCCGGGTTCGTAGCGCGGCGCGCTGACCGCTGCACTACCGCTCCCATACGACATACCACACACACTCACAGACACGCGTGTAAGACTCGACACGCGTGTAACAGGCAACACGCGTGTTTGGACACGAGTGTGGTTGGTTGGGAAAGGCGAGAGACTGCCGTGACTCGCCCTCACTGTACCAAGCAGCGCCCCGTTTGCCGACGTGGCTGGCGCATTCCGCGCATACTTTCACTCTCAACTCACTCTCACTCACTCACTCACTCGACTCTCACTCTCATTCACTCGACTCTCACTCTCAACTCTCACTCTCAACTCTCACTCACTCAACTCTCACTCTCATTCACTCGACTCTCACTCTCAACTCTCACTCTCAACTCTCACTCACTCAACTCTCACTCTCACTCACTCAACTCTCACTCTCAACTCTCACTCACTCGACTCTCACTCTCGACTCTCACTCTCAACTCTCACTCTCAACTCTCACTCTCAACTATCACTCACTCAACTCTCACTCTCATTCACTCGACTCTCACTCTCGACTCTCACTCTCAACTCTCACTCACTCGACTCTCACTCTCAACTATCACTCACTCAACTCTCACTCTCATTCACTCGACTCTCACTCTCGACTCTCACTCTCAACTCTCACTCTCAACTCTCACTCTCATTCACTCGACTCTCACTCTCAACTATCACTCACTCAACTCTCACTCACTCGACTCTCACTCTCATTCACTCGACTCTCACTCTCGACTCTCACTCTCAACTCTCACTCGACTCTCACTCTCAACTCTCACTCTCAACTCTCACTCTCAACTCTCACTCTCACTCACTCGACTCTCACTCTCAACTATCACTCACTCAACTCTCACTCTCATTCACTCGACTCTCACTCTCGACTCTCACTCACTCAACTCTCACTCACTCGACTCTCACTCTCAACTCTCACTCACTCAACTCTCACTCTCAACTCTCACTCACTCGACTCTCACTCACTCAACTCTCACTCTCAACTCACTCTCGACTCTCACTCTCAACTCTCACTCGACTCTCACTCCCAGCACAACCACCAAACGAGCAGCCACCCGTCGACATGATCAGAGCTGTTAGTTGTGCTGTTGGTTGTGCTATTGGTTGTGCTGTTGGTTGTGCTATTGGTTGTGCTATTGGTTGTGCTGTTGGTTGTGCTATTGGTTGTGCTGTTGGTTGTGCTGTTGGTTGTGCTATTGGTTGTGCTGTTGGTTGTGCTGTTGGTTGCAGCAGTGTCGCAATGAACACACGCGACCGGCATTTGAACGAGCATCTGTCCTGTATGAATGTGACCATCATGAACCATGAAGTATCATCATCATCATCACGGCTATGATGATCATCATCCGTTACTCTCCCACACCCTTTCACTCTTCTTAAACGTCATCACCACCAACAACTCCACAGCGGCAATAGCGAATCCGGACGGTTGTCAGTGCAACAGTGAACACGGCAAGTTCCTGCGTCGGGACATCACTGGCATCAGCGTGAAACTTGCATCGTCATCATCATCATCAGACACTCTCACCGCGCCCTCACTCGCACTGCATCACCACGATCATCACCAAGACAACACCAATAACGATTGTAGTGTAACAGTGAATCCGAGTGCCGACATTTAAACATCACTGCCATCATCATCATAACCACCGCCGTCATCATAACCTAATTCACACTGCCTCACCAAAGCCACCACCAACTCATCAAGCCAAAGGGATTCCCTGCACAAATGAGCGGAGAGGCGGTGCCGATCTCCCGTTTACAGTCCACGTTCCTATGGCGGGGGTGAGTCCAACCATGAATACGAACCGTCCGTTCAAAAACGGTAGCAAACCAATATACGACTTGTCGTGAACACGGATTCCGGCATTTGGACATCTGTCGTGACTACTACCACATTCATCATCATCACCACCATCACCACCATCATCACCGTCATCTCCATCATGTACCTTGGTGACCCGGCGAGCCGTGTACAAGCCTATGCCTTGCTGCACGTGTGACGGCTTGAGCGAGAATCGCTCAGGAACGTACATCCCCAACATTCTCCTGCCAGCAACAACAGCAGCAGCAGCGACTCCCACTAACAGCAACCACCAGCGGCTAACCGCTCACAACCACAGCAACAACCACCACGGCAACGAAGAACTCGAGCAGCAGCGGCAAGTTCGTCGCAAGTTTAGGCGAGAGGCCGTCTCCATCCCCCGCAGGCTCTCCCGATCATCATCATCATCCTCAGTACCGCGTTCCTGAGCTCACGCAATACGCACGGAGGAATCGCGGCTCTGCCATTGGGCGCAGAGAGTTTGGCCGGTGTACGCCCACTGCAGCTCGCAGGAGTTAAGAGGAAGCGGGGATCTTGGGAGACGCTGCCACGTTAACGTGGCGGGGTCTCCCACATGGGTGCGTCTGAGAAAAGCGTTGTTAGCCACGAACCCCCAGCGCACGCGCGCGCGCTTGCAGATGATGCGCTTTCTGCGGCCGTCTGGAACGCTCTTCGGCCACTGAGCTTTCAGGAGTCAGCCGAAGCGGGGATCTTGGGAGACGCTGCCACGTTACGTTGCCCCCCCCCCCCCCCGCATGGGTGCGATGCGTCTAAGCAAAGCGTTGTTAGAGATGAACCCCAGCGCGCTTTCAGATGCGCTTTCTGCGGCCGTCTGGAACGCTCTTTGCAACGAGAGCTCTTAGAGGTTAAGAGGACGCGGAGATCCTTGCGAGACGCTTTGCTGCCACATTAACGTGGGTCCCCGGGTGCGATGCGCTTTCAGATGCACTTTTAAATAATCATCTCGATTGAAAACTGATTTCTTGAAAACTTGCTTTTTGTCTGTTTTTGTTGTCGCCCGCACCTCCGATTAGCACGGTTGGCTACGTACGGCGCGAAAGAAGTTCAGCAGTACGTACATACAACTCGCCACCACCACCACCAGTACCCCCGCAACCTCCCCCTTGCCCCGGCCGACTCCAGGGGCTGTACATTTAGCTCTATATGGCCGATGTGTTGTTATTCTGCAGCAGGTGATTGTTGACTCCATCCGTTATCATCGCTCGTATCTCGTAACAGGGTTGTTATAGGATGCTGCGGTGGCTGCGATGGGGACAAGCAGAGGAGCAGGGCAAAGTCAATTGTTGTACTGTATACGTCTATGGCTCCCACGTCTATGCTCTCTCCTGTCTTCAACAAGCGTCGTGGTCCTTTCTTTCGTGCGTATGGCGAAGAGTCGGCGACTTGCTTCGCCAGCGTTGTGTGGCCAAATAAGCGGAGCGATGGGTTGCGTGAGGCATGGCCTCATCCAGTGGTGACTTGACTAATAGGGGCAACACAAATACCCACCCTCCCGCCGTGTAGCCTTTAGGGGCCGTCCATAAATGACGTCACGCGATTTTGGACGATTTTTGACCCCCCCCCCCCTCGTCACACGGCGTCACAAAAAGTCAGACCCCCCTCAAATATGACGTCACAAAGCTCTGCCCGCCCCCCCCCCCAAAACCATATTTCCATTTTTCAAATAAAACATGCTTCAAATCGCTTTAAGCTATTGTCATTGTAGTGCGTATTTAATGTGGCGCTGCACTCTGATGTTGTAGGAGAAAACATTTATTAAAAAGTGTATTTAATTAAGTAGAACGTGTTGTCTATATTTATTTAAAGTTGCGCATTTTGATGTGACGTCACATTTCTCACCCCCCCCCCCTTGTCACACATCGTCACAACCCCCCCCCCCCTAGGTGCGTGACGTCATTTATGGACGTCCCCTTAACAGACTTCTGGGGAAAATGCTGCTAGCGAATCGCACCAATGAAGGCTGGCACGGCACACGATGGGGTGGTTGAACAGCACTAGGCCCGGCCGCCTTTATCTCCCTAGTAGCAATTTTTACACATAGCACTAGCTACTAATTTGAGGCTGAGTCGACCTAGGGGAGACCCAGGATCCGTTCAGATAAACACTGGTGTTGGCCGCGAGCAGGTATCGAGCTGGGTGCAGGTTCATAGCGCCGTGGGCTAACCACAGTGCCACCGCTCGTTGTTTATTTGACCAGGTAAGGCTCACTGAGCTGTGCAGCTCTTCTTCAGAAGCGGCCTGGCCACAAACGATCGCTCAACGAAGTGGCTTATCACGTGGACATTTATAGCAGCCAAATACTCTAAACGCTTGGGCAAGCACGTGCACACTCCAAATATACAACAGGCGTCAGGGTCAGGAATCGAACCCACGACGTTCTGGCGAGGTAGTTAACATCTCGCCACCGCGTCGCCCTTGCTGGTTCTGCCGCATGTTGCCGGACATAATGATGATGACTAACAGCCCTTGCCACGGTGAGTGGTGTACTGGATGTGATGTGCCCTGGTGCAGAAATGTTGTCCGGGTCGCTGGTTGACTGGAGATGGTGGCTCGTGACGAATAGCCACAGCGAGTGACAGGTGCACGGGATGTGGTGTTTTGACCCCCAATAGACCTGCCTAAAATTAAGCCCTGGGGTTGTGAAGGTTATACAAGCCTGGTGTTGAAGCTGGTTCCTCTATTTGGTTGAGGAGGATAGCATTGGGCCACATTCAGCGTTTGTTGAGTACAATTGCTGCACTGAATTCTCTTCTGCGCAAATCAGGGGTTTACTGAATTCTTCCCACGGAGAAAAACGTGGGACATCATGCCGGACAACACGTGGTACAACCCGTAAACACGTTGGAGAGCTGTATGTACAGTATGTAGAACTTCTTTCGCACCGTACATCACCAACCGTTTTTCGGGGGAAGGCCAGCAAACGAAAAACAAAAAACTTTTTTAAGAAATTAGTTTTCAATCTAGATTTAAAAGTGCATTGCTCCAATTGCTTCATAATATGATAACATCCACAAATCTGTCGTTCTCTCGTCTGTGTGAGAATGATTAGGGGCCAGAAGATGTTGATTTGGTGGGAATTACGGTCAGGGAATGTGTCAAGCCAGCGAGGCTCACGGGTAGGATGATGATGATGATGACGATTACTTACAGCCCGAGTTCATCCTCGTGACCGTAGTTGGTAACGGGGGTTGTTTGGCCATACTTCACCACGCCGGTCAGCGCAAGTTTGGTGAATTTGGATCGGTTCAGATATTACTTGCAATTCATAGGGTAAAAGCCCCATCGTTAACCCCTGCGATATAATTATTTATTTGGAGAGCTCTGTTTTCCCAGTGTCCAGCCACAGGGCCCATGACCCTGTGAATAAAACTATCAAGAACTACAAATGCCACGGGCCGAGGTCCTAGCGCATGAACTTGCGGCTGCCAACTCCAAGTCTCTCCGTTTCCACCGCTTTGTTTAAACTGATCGAATATGTATCATGGGACCATTGTTACCAGTATCAAAGTATTAAACATACGAATAGGGTTTACCCTTTCTGGCAATAAAACGTGTTAAGATGTTCAAACACCAAATGGGTACATTTTGCAAGCAATCAGCTGCTCACCCCGAGCTACAAATGCTCTGATACGCGTGGCATTGTCTTTGTGCTGGTCGCCTTTTTGGCGTTCTCTGATCTGACCCTGGTGAGACTAGGCCATAAAGAAGGCTGTCTCCGGTGTAGGCCAATCCGTTTCAAAGACAATGCACATGTTTTCAGAGATTAAATCTGTATTGAAAACTCATTTCTAAAGAACTGCGTTTTGTGTTTAGTTTGTTGTCCTTCCCTCCACACCTCTGATTAGCACGGTTGACTACGTACGGTGCGAAATAAGTTCAACGTGCATACATTCAAACACGTTAATTTCACTGCAACAGGAATAGCGTCGCCTATGGTTATTCACTTCCTCAATTCTATTCCGGGCCGCGGCTAACATCAGTGGCAAGTGATATCTGAACCAGCCCTGGGCACCCCCGCCCCCCCTCATCTTTCAGTGACCCCCACTGACCAGCATGCCGCAGTATGGCCAAATAACCCCAGCATGACTGACATGACGTGGGGGAAACCTTCCAGCAGTAAATTGAGAATGACAGGTGTTTATATTAATATAACACGAGCGGCAATGAAGTGAAGTTTCATTATAGATGTTTGGGTGAGATCTCGTAAGTAAAATGTGTTTCGTAGAAGAAAAAAACATCCTCCACCAGACACGGACAATGAATAAAGTTGTCTCGTGATTAAACGCGTAAATGTATAACTGCTTCAGCACACCGGTGCGTTGGAGAGCAATTCCCAACGGTGAGCAATTTGGGATGACATTTCACTGATAGATACAGCCAGCATCATCAGGCAGTTGTTAGAAAACAATTGACATTTTTTGAAATGTATACTTTTATTTTTTAAACCAAGTTTGATTATTTGCAATCGCTTATCCCAATGTGTCTCAATGCCTTCATTTAGCAGTGGATTGACGAAGAGGGGCGTCGGAAATGGGCGCGCACTGCGCCGTAAATTAAGCGCACATCAGAAACGCTTTTCCCTTTGGCCTTTTGAGAGCTAACTTTAGAGGGTCTTTGTTGTCTTTTTTGGGGAGGCGGTGGGGAATGATAATGACGGGTCAGGCCCAGCTGTGAACCCCCCGGTAGCGCATTTGATCTCCGCTATCGGTTGAGATTGTTTGGATTTTTTTGGTGCTGCAAATGTCCAAATAATAGTGCCACTTTGTTGAGCTATCATTTGTTAATATCTCAGTGGGCTTTGCCTGGTAGGATGGGGATGGTTTACTGCTGTAGTTTTGTGTGTGTTTGTGTGATTTGTTTAACTTTATTGTGCTTTGCACTCCTATCGTGTTGCTTGTTGTTATATCGTTCTTACCCCGTGCCCCCACTGGACATCTGTGAACACGAGCTTCGTAGCTCATCGGATTCCACTAGTATAAACGCAACTGCTGAGCAGCCAGTGATGGACGTGTTTATTGCGTGGTTTATGCATGCGTACACGACTTAGATTATCTATGTAGGCAATGAAGAAATGAATATACAGAGTGCTTAAAAAATTTGTTAACACTTACATGATACTGTCGTTTTTAATGGAAATAGAACGGATAATACACTGTAACATTATAACAAATGAATGTTAATAGCTTCAAAAAGTCAAAGAGTCTCCACTTGTTCGCCATCATTGTCAACACATTGCCTGGAATCTTCTCCAGGTGGTCTCCAGAGCCCTGAGGCAGCACATTTCTTGTGGTGTCGGTGCAAATTATCAGAAGTGTTTACATTTTTTTGAAGCACCCTGTATAGAGAGAACAAAAAGTTGTGTTAAAGCCTCCACGTGTCTCCTACTAATCTCCACGCACTTCAGCACACCCGTGTCTCGGAGACCAAACTCACAACGCTTACAATTCGCACGTTTTGCTCACGTGACAAACCTTACTAATTGGCTGTGTCGGGTGATGGTGGGTTTACGACATATGCACATTTACTCCATCTAACCCAAAACACGCTATGAAACTAAACTGAGCTGTATAGATCTTTTTTCAGAAGCGACCTGGACACAAATGACAGCTCAACGAAGTGGGTTCAGAAATCTGGTGCAGCCAAATACTCTAAACGCACGTTTCTAAATTTGGAGGGAAAAAACGGAGGACCCAAAGAAAAATCCACGCGACCACGGAGAGAGAAACACGCAAACTCCAAACATACAGCAGGCGGTCAGGGTTGGGATCGAACCCACGCACTCCTGTATACCAGGCGAGATAGTTAACATCCCACCACCGTGGCACCCCTTAAGAAAGTTTTAAGGGTGAAAAATACCTATTGAAAGACCACCTGCCGTAAAAACAGATACATCCAATTTGTTTACGTTCTGAATTAATATGAACTGCAATCAACATCTTCATCATCGGCCATGATCTATCATATACTGGATACATGTTTTCTATCTATTGCGATCTCACAATGAAAAAGTCGAGGCCATCTATAGCTCCAGCACATGAGCAGATTTCATCACTCCATGTCGGTGGTTGACGTCCTCTCTCGAGCGTGTCATCTCCTTTGGCTGCCACTCCTTTCATAGTCTCTAGCAGCGCCCATCATCCCTTCGAGCCACATGTCCTGCCCAAGTCCTCTTGTGTATGTTCCTCATGAAGAAAATGTAACGATAGGGATGGCTGGGATTGCGGGAACCTCTCTGATGTACAGTACGGTCATACCTCGATGTGTGTAGACTGAAAACGAATTTCTTTAGAACTGAGTTTTGTGTTTAGTTTGGTGTCCTTCCCGCGATGAGCACGGTTGGCCACGTGTGGTGCGAAAAAAGTTCAACGTACATACATTCGATAAAGAACGATTCGGTATAATGAACTGTGCACCTTTTTACCATTACCTTTTTACTGGTAGGAACCTCCTGGTTACACCAGCCCACAGGGGATTATTGTGTCCGTCCGTCGTGCAGGGAGGGGCTGGGTGGGGAGGGGAGGGTGGGGAGGGAGGGCTGGGTGGGGAGGGTGGGGAGGGGAGGGTGGGGAGGGGCTGGGTGGGCGGTGGGAGGGGTGGGGCTGGGTGGGTAGGGGCTGGTCACCCCGTGGTGCCCCTATAAAACTCAACGTTTAACCTACTCACGCCGGCTTGTGCCCGCCCTCACAGTCGGGCATATTTGCGGAATACACCACGCCGCCGTTGACCCTGGCCATTGACCGAGCAACCCAACGTTCCTACCAGCTCCCTCCGCAGGAATGTGTTACAGAAAGCAAAAAAATCAAGTGAAATAGCATCTCTAGCCCGCCCACTTTAAACCAATATAACCTCTGGCTGCAGTAGCTCTCTCGCTACATGTCTTCCTGCCTCATCAGAACGCCTGCTGTACTTTTTTCAGCTGAAGACGATTGCTCGTGTTGCGATCGAAACGTCATGATTTTATTTTATTTTATTATTTTTCTATCTACGTGACTTTACCGAAAGACCCAAAGAATAGCAAATAAATACACTGAAATTATTGAATTAATAAGACTTTCATAAATCTACAGTAAAATAGAAATAAAAATAACGTTTTTTCTTCACGACATTTCTTTTATTTATGTCAGTTTTTCATTTGAATACTGTACAGTATAACATAATATTCGTGTGAACATACATTGCCTGTGTTTACAATACGAATGGTAAGTTGTGAAGTGTTTATGGTATGAAAGAGTAAATTACGAAGGCTGGGAACGCATCCTCGTAGTACTAATTTTATAAATTGTTCATAATACGAAGATTCAATATATGAAGCGCCAGGAACGCATCTACTTCGTATATAGATCGATATTCCGGTATTCCTGTAACCCTTCACGGATGCGAATGCACATTATGGGGAGCCATGGCCCATCGCCAACTCTTTAAACCCGAGGGGAAATATTGTGGGCACAACGTTTATAGTCAGTTTAACACATGGTAGGCTTTCGCGACCAATATCATTGATAATACAGCTCTTTTTAGATCGTGTAAATATATAATAAATGTGTCGTTCAACCCGCCACCACCCGGCACAGCCAATTGGTAAGGTTTGTATCCGTCAACCTTTTCTGAAAATCTACGTAGATCCATGAAGAATGTGAATAATCGGGAAAACACCTTTTCTCCCCCGCCATGGCTAATGCAACCATGCCATTCGTGTGGGGATGCATCATTTGACAATGGGGGGGGGGGGGGGGTAGGGGGTGGAGAAGTTAGTTCGCGAGTGGGCAGGACTAAGGCGACACCACAGATGTCATCATTGAGTACAGGGGTGGCCAATCTGTGGCAGACCAAAGAGCTAAGTGTAGATATTGGCAGTTTCCGCACAGCACGGGAGACATTCATTTTTCTTTGCTACTACTGTGATAGTATATTCTACGTGATGCCCCTTCAATACAGCCGCATGCGGTGGTTTAAATGGGCCGCATGCGGCTCGGGAGACGCCGTAGGCCACCGCTGATCTCGTATCATCTTTTTATGGCTTCTTCTGTGTGGAGGAGCTGTAGCCGAGGTGGGGGGGAGGGGGGGATAGGCCACGAGGCAGCTTAGTCTAGCACGAGAAGAACGCGCCTTCAAATCCGCACCTCAGAATTATGACTTTGAAGTCATAATTCTGAGGTGTGTCAGAGCTGGCTGCGCCACATGCCCTCTCCGTGTTTTTCGACGAAAGTGTATTCACTAGTCTGTGTGCACTGCGGCACAATAGCTCGCTACAAACGGCTGTGTTTTCTTTTTGTGATGCTCGTGAAATCTTCGCGCGTGTCCACCGCCTGCGACGCGGTGCAGTCGTCGTTCTGCAGCGTGAGTTGGAGGTGTTTTGGATGGGCACAGGTATGTCTCCTTTTAATCTTGAGAATGTAAAAAATCTCACGAATGGCAACTTGAGTGCCAAAGCGGTAACGCAGCTTTATTTGTTCAATTTAGTGGCAAGGAATAGAGAGAGCTGACAAAAAGAAAGCATTTATTTACTTATTTATTCCCTGGAAATGCCGATGGGATCTCGAACTCGTTGCGTTGGCTTTTCACCGTGTCCATCGCAGCCATGTTCATCGGGGCGGTGACGGGGCCCGGCACTTCCACGTCGCCGCTGGTTGCGGAGGTCCGCGGTTAGAATCGAGTGGGCCGCCCTTGTTATTACCGCTGCAGGTGAATTAACCATGAAACGAGCGCCGTCTTACTTCGCCGTTAGACTCTAAAAGAATAAGCTGACTTCATTTGAAACGAGTGGGCCACAGCATGCCGACGCCAACGGTCAAGAAATGCCAAATTTCCAAAACATGACACCGCAAATTACTAATTTAGGATTACACACAGCAGCAGCAACACCCCCCTCCCCTACTGTGATACTACTGCAGATTGTGTCTGTGAACACAGGAGCGCCGTCTTCCATGATAGCCTCACGATTCAAGAATAATAGGGTGAACTAAAACTACACTATTTTTATTTTATGTTGTATGGCCCACGGGGCTATCTAGCTCTTTTTTAGAAGCGACCCGACCCACCATTGATAGCTCAACGAAGTGGCTCATCATGTGGAAAGTAGAGCAGCCAAATAATCGAAACGCATGCTTCTAAATGCGCAGGACAAAACCGGAGGATCCAGAGAAAAATCCACGTGACCACGGGGAGAACACGCAAACTTCAAATATACAACAGGTGTCAGCGTTGGGATCGAACCCACGACCTCCTGTATTCAAGGCGAGGTTGTTAACATCTGGCCACCTTGGTCACAAATGTATTAAAACATTTCTTTTTGTTTTATTTTCAAAAACATGTTGATGGTGGGTGTGATATTTTGTTATTTTCAGCCAAGCGCTTAAATGATAATGGAACTGGTGTTGTCATGCCTTTAATTGAAAGAACATTTCCGTAAATGAAAACACAACTGGACCTTGCACATCTGGGAGGCAGGCATCTTTCCGATATTCATGAACACTTAAATATGATTCTGTTATTTACATGGATAAATAAGATTCACTTAACATCGATTAATAATATGAACAAAATTGATGCAACTCGACTGAAATATCGTTGGTAATAACAAAGTTGACAATAATCCGTGTTGTTAAATATATAAACCATGAGTTGCGTGCAGGAATTAGGTTGCATTGAGGTCTGCAACACTGCTGCAGAAAACCAACAACACCGTGGTTGAGCAAAGTAGGAGTAAAACAACCAAATGTGATGTAATCATCGTGAATGCCACCTCATATCGGTAGTTGGATGATATCCAGGGCCAAGCTCTTGAACTTTTGACCTCTTAAACACAAGGCAGATCTTTGTAAGGCCGCTATAGACCGACTGCGAATCGTAAATCCAAGTAGACAAATGTTCGCACACACTATGAGAATGTTTAGATTAACTTTATTGGGGTCGAACGTAACTATATTTCAACACTGTCGTACAACATGAATATAACACAATATAACCGATTTTGTAAATATTTACACGTACTGTATATTCCCAAAAAACAAACAAAAAATATGCAAATATATTTTTAGTACAAGGTTTCATTATAAGCAGTAAGACGCTCAAATACTGTGATTTCAATAACTTACAACATTATTTAGGCAGAAAAAATAATATTCAAGTTTAAAAGCAAAAAAAAACATTATAGTTACATAAGATAGTAATTAATAATATAACTTTCTCACGATTTTACCTAAAGGGGAAAAAGGTTTTAAGAAAGAAAAATATGTCTTCTAATAGTAGATTCAATATAAACAATTTAAATTAAAGAATAATCCGGACGTAGGGCATCACACGGGCTGCTGTATTTTAGAAACATCGTTGCGAATCTCATTAAACTCACCGCGAAAATGAAAAAGGGCATTTTTACTCATATCGACGCTCGGTTACGTGCTATAATTGGGACATTATTTTTTTAATTAAACATCAGTTATCTAACGTCAGAACCGTATAACGTTCTGTTGAGACGGGATACATTTTAGTCCGTAAAAACGTTGTTGCGTAAAGTACAAATGGCTGCCGTGCGGCTACATGCAAGGATCTCCTGGTCACGCGCGCGTGGTTTAGCGAGACATTCTGACGCTCTGCCGTGGAGAAGCAGTCCAGGCAAAGCACACGAAGGCGAGCGACCAGCATCCCCTCTCATTTCTCTTCTCAGCAAACGCGTGTTAGTACACCGACGGATGCAAGCGTTTGCGCGCGAATATTCACACCGCAACACACGTTTGTTGTTGTTGTTTTGATCAGCGGCTCCCTATTTGCGTTCGCTCCCTACACAATGATCCCCCCCAGGAGGTCGGGGGACGCTCCCATTCAAACAACGTCTCATCCAGGGCCGGGCAAGTCTCGTCTGCCGCGCGATCGTCGTGTGACCTCCGCCGCCGCTCCCCGCCGCTCGCGGGACCGGCGGCGCGCTCAGCAGCGCGAGCGCGTCGTCACCATCCTGCTCTGGTAGCGCGCCGCCTCCCCGCCGGGCGCCACGGCGTACACGTCGAGCACGTAGGCCCGGCCGGGCTCCAAGCCGCGGACGGTTTGCGCCAGCACGGCGCGCCGAGGGTCGGCGCTGCTGAACTCCTTGCACAGCACCTTCTCCGACTTCTTGCGGCTCTCGGGCCCGAAGCACGCGCCCAGCGGCGGAGACGCCGCCGCGCCACCGCCGCCGCCTTTCGGCGCCGCGCCCACGGGCCGCTTGTACAGGCAGTACTTCTGGCGCTCGGGCACGCACAGCCAGGCCACCGTCACCGCATTGCAGGCGCGCAGGCGCTCGAACACCTTGATGCGCGTGTCGTCCGGGAGCTCGGGGAACGGCTGCTTGCCGGGACGGGACGTCGCCGACACTCGCAGGGTCGCGGCCACCAGCGGCGGCGGCGGCTGATGCTGCTGCTGACGCCGCCGCTGCTGCCGCTGGTGCCGCGGGTGCCGCCGCCGGTGGCTCCCGTCGCGCGCGCCCTCGTTGCCGCTGACGCGGACGGTGTACGTGGCCTTGGGCCTCCCTCTCACGCGCAGGTGGCGCAGCCCTCCGGCCGGCAGCGACACGCTGGAGATGAGCTTCCCGTCGCGGCGGATGGCGACGCGCAGCGGGATGGCGTTGGCGGCCTGGCACGTGTGGAACGAGAAGAGCACGTGCTGGTGCGACGACACCGGGCGGAAGCGCAGGTTCTTGCCGGCGCCTCCTCCGCCGCCCTCCCGGTCTCCGCCCCTGGGCTTCACGGTGAGCTCCGTCACTTTGCCCTCCTTCAGCTCCGTGACCTTCTCGGCCTGGCCGTCGCTCTTCGTTCGGACAAACGTCCCTATGTAGGAGACGCTCATGTTAGTCCGGGGGTTGACGGCGAAGACGTCGAAGTAGTACTGCGTGTCGGGCTTCAGCTCCGACACCGTGTAGACCGTCTTGTCGTCCAGGCAGGTGAAGAAGACGTCTGATCGACTCGGCCCGTGGCTCACAGGCCGGCGGCGGAGGAGCCCTCGGCAGCAAGTCCGTGCTGAACCCCAGGTAGGCAAAGTCGTAGGGGTTGAGGTCTCGGGCCAGCGGCACCGGCGGAACAGGCCCCGATCCCAGCTTGGTCTCCGCGCCGCACAGGCTCTTGACGTTGTGGTCGCGGTTGGCCAGGAGGCAGTAGCGCACCGCCGTGTCCTTCGACAGAGCAGTGGTCCAGCTGGACTTCCAGGAGAGCGTGACGGCGCTGCGTCCCACCCAAGTCACGTCGAGCCGGCTGTCGGCGGGCAGCTGCGGGTAGCTGTCCCCGAGGCCCGGAGACGAGGCGGTGCTGGCGTACACCTTGAAGCTGGTGTCCCTCTCCGGGGAGAACACCTCGAGAATGTAGAGACCCGAGTTGGCCGAGTGGACGGCGTAGCTCTCCATGCTGTTGCCGCGGTACGAGTGCAGCTCCTCGGAGGCCGGGCGGCGGGTCTCCGGCTGCTGGGCTCGGAACGGCTCAGAGTCGCCTGCGAAGGGAGCGACAGGTAAGAGACGGCGAGAGCCGAGTTGCGATCGTGCCATTTAATGATGATCACTATTATTGCTTACATTTATAAGATGCGATTCATCCAGGGATCTCAGTGCACCATGCACGAAGTTGCTAAATATAAATGCTACAAAGTCCAGAGTCCGCCGGTCAAACACGTCAAGTGTATGCCAGGCGAAACAGCTGAGTCTATAATGAAGAGCTAAACATAGCGGGTGACCTCGCCTGTTCAACCACAGGTGGCAGGGCATTTCATAATCTCGGCACAGCGCAAGCAGAGGCTCGGTCACCCCAGGTGCAGAGTCAAGTTCGTGGCACAGGGAGCAGATGTAAATCAGCGGATCGGAGAAGGTCGTGACGGTACGTGCAGGTGCAATATGGTGCGAGGATCATTTAAGGCCTTGAACCATCACTCGGAAATCCTTACACAAGCCCCACAGCTCATCAATGGTAAATGTGTTGCCTGGGGCCTTACTAATGGGAGCTCTAGAGAAGCCCTCCACACTAGTCAGACACCTCGTAAGAGGCTGGAGTTACCCCAGCTCACACAGCCTGCCCATCGACTTACTGCGATGCACCCATTCATACCGCTGCGGCGGTGGTGGCGGTGGTGGTGGTGGTGTAAGAATCTTGCTAACCGGGACGCTGCAAGCGGCTTTCCACGTGCAATTGTTTTCGTATGACGCACCTGAGCCTCCACCACTGGCCTCCTCGGGAAGGTCCTCCACTCGGAGCGTCCACTCCAAGGAGGCATCGCACGGTGTCAGCACCAGCCACAGCGGGGTGTTGTCCTCCTCCACCACCAGATAGAACCTGCCAACGACACCGAACCATGAGGCCCTGCGCCGTATCTCCGTCCCACCATCCGTGCGGCATTAACCCCTCGTCATTGAAAGCAATGCAAAAACAAAAATAAACACCCATTGTAAACTAATATTGGCCCAAACACCCCGATACTGAAATAACATTGCCTGCGAATTACTCAATCGGGATTATACGCAGCTACCACCCCCCCCCCCCGCCCCTCTGCCAAATCTTAGCAGAACCCTGCAAAAAAAAACTGGGTTAGGCTTTCCTTGTTGGACAAGTGTCATTAAGAAAATAATAAAAACAATAGTTTATTATTTCTACCGCACCTCCCATGCAGTGCATATCTAAGTGCCGTTGGCACGTGTCCCACATAACCTTCCCTGGTACGAAACAACTCTCAGCCACTGCCTTTGTTGTGAGATATGATTAGCGATGGGTTTATTTGTTTTCTTAATTGTATTCCAGTTGTGCTTTCAGCGCCATGTGATAAAAGGGAAAAATCCGTTCAGATCTCGGGTGTGAGAGAATAGATCGTGGAAGCAGAGCTCACAGAACTACTCTGGAAGATGCCTTCAAGTGACCTCTTAGCCACAGTAGGGGGCAGCACTTTCCCACCCGATTAAAGTACAATGTTCACCAGATGCGCTCACGCTTCCAGATGCGCTTCTGTGGCCGTCTGGAACGCTCTTCCTTCCGATATTAGGAAGCCACTGGAGCTATGCATCTCTGATTAGCATGGTTGGCTACGTACGGTGCGAAAGAAGTTCAACATACTGTGCATGCATACATCATCAGGTCACAATCTATCCTTCCCAACGAGCTTTTCCCATTACTAACTGTCTCGGTCACACAACGCAGCTTGCCCCTATATCTGCTTCACCATTAGCTGACATGATTGCTTCGTCTCGACCATCTTTCCAAGCACGTTCCCTCCTTTTTACTGCCATTCCATCGTTAGTCTCGACCCCGCCCCCCCCCCCCCCCCCCCCCACACGTAAGATTAGCACGGTTGGCTACATACGGTGAAAAATAAGTTCAACATACATAAATACACAAGCTGGTGAAATGTATATTTGTAGTTCTTGGAGCTAGACGATGAGGGTTTTTTTGTGTGCAGTCGTTGGTGACGTGGGCTGAAATCAACCAGCTCACTTCCGCTTGAGACACCAAGTTGAATCACAGGGCGGCCGAAATTTGGATTCAAATCCAGAACTCAGCGCTGTTGATCGCTGAGCTATAGCGGCCGCCTCAAACATCTTTCTTTAGAAATATTAGCGGCGGTAAAATAAAAAAATAAAGCTCTGTTTTACACGTGATGAAAGTCAACGCGCACGAACGCAAGCACAAGGGCATTGCTTGTCGACCGATTGCACCACGGCTTAGCCCCCTGCATCTAGAATGTCCAAGTTTACAAATTGATTGTGACATAGGAGGCAGCGAGTCGAGCTGTCGCTCGGCGCTGCTTCAAGTTGAAACAGGCTCTGATGCCGACAATCATTATCGTATCGCATCGTATACTGAACTAATACATCAGGGGTAGTGATCGTTTACAATCTTTGCTCATTGCCCGTTAACATCCCACTGCTGGACGCATTTCCTCTTCGCCCCTAATGTCTTCCGCTCTTCACGATCGCTTGCCACCTCCATGTGCAGTGGCGCGCTGCTCCACATCGGCTAATCTCGCCACGCCATCTCATTTTCTGTCTCGCTCGCTTCCCCTGTCTGCCTCTCTTCCTCCTTCCATTTGCCGCCGCTGTTCATGTTGTCCGCCTGCCACCTCATCTCCTGGCTCGACGCACTGCCCAACTTCATTTTGGTTTTCAGGGTTTTTTTTTGTATTCGTCATTTTAGCTGTCTCCCAATGGTGGCAGCGGCAGCACGAATTGATGCCAAACCACTGCCACGCGCATTGGGTCTCACGGTGGGCGTAGAAAGGCCAAAAACAAAACGACAGTGAGACTGGAGAAAAAAAAAACAGCGCGTAATTGGCGCGGATATGTTGTGAGGGGTCACGCAAAGACAAATAGATTCTCACGGCGATGAGTTCAAATGAACGTGAGGTTAAAAATAAAATTATACTACTTGCGTAAGGTTTTTACGGTTGCGCTGTTCAGCTCTGCGTTGCATTTTATGTTTGCTCCACGTGTTGTTCGGCACGATGCTAAAAGTTTTGCCCCCGCGTGCTGCGAGAGCTTCTTCACGAACAATTCTGGCTTATTGTACTTCCTGAAGAAACCGCCAGCACATGGAGCGGAACGTTGGACATCGTGCCGCCGAACAACACGTGGTGCAACCCGAGAAATGCATCGGAGGGCTCTTAGTCGTTGTCTTCCAGTGCCGCGCTGTTCATCGCCAGAAGCGGTGAGCCCACGCGCGCCTGGCCACGCAGCCTCGCAGCCATTCAGGCCCTTTGATTTGGTGGCGGCATTAAAACGCTCGCAGTCGTAACGCCCCAAGTATATATATAGATGTGTTTGTGCTTTAACCCCGGCTAGCCGTGGGCTTTTTAACTGCGCGGCCCGTGCAATGGAATGCCCGCCGAGGCGTTGTGCTGCTTTATTGCCTCTGGGGCCGAGGACACACGAGGAAGTGGCTCGGATCGTGTTGCCCCGATCGCTTGTAAAGAGCCGCATGGAACGATTCCTCCCCACATACCCCGGGACGTCGCCGGCGACAGCGGTCGGTTCAAAAGTTTTTTTAAACACGGCGCGACCACCCCTGCGAGAAGAAGGGGGCCGCCCGCGCATCCCACCGGGCAGCCAGGGAGGGCACGGCTGCCGCGCTGGTTGCGGGGGTCGAGGGGTCACAGCGCGACGCTCGGAGGGGGGCGGGGGTTGTGGGGGGGGGGGAGATTCTCCGACGGGGCCACGGTGGTAAGCGGGTACCGTGCTACCGACAGCGCCGTCCGCGCGCCGTGACGAGCAGCGCGGCAGAAAATAACCTGGGCGCAGCCGCCGCCGCGGTTCAGGGGCAAACGGCGAGTGGAGCGCGGTGGGAGAAAGCGGTGTGCGTCCACGTGCTTAGCGCACTTGCTTAGACAGTGACTGATAGGGTAACGCAAGTGTAATCATAATTGATTGGATAAAAACGAGTGAATTCATAACAAAACAGCGCCGTTATGGATTTTAGTCTTTGCAAGATATTGCTGCAAGGTATTATCAAAGTCACAATCAAATATATGTCTGTAGAATATGTGACAGGCTTCATGTCTGTCTGTCTGTGCGTCAGTATTTGTATCGAAACGAAAGCTGAATTGACACAATGTGAATCAGAATGATCTAAATAGCCTCACAGTTACACCCCCCCACGCCCGAACAGAATGAGCACCACATTGCAGGCAAGTAAACAAGCGGTGGGTCATATGGACAAACTCGCCCCCGCCATATGAATGTGGAATTTCCACCACTGGCTCTGCAGGGCTGTAAACGGAAGGCGAGCATCAAATGCCTCAATGCTCATTCGAGCAGGGAAATCACTTTGGCTTCCTGACACCGAGTTGCACCTGTCCAGACCGAAGGAGCAGGCACGGACTGCCAGGGTGGAGAGAATTGCTCTCAGAATGTCCCTCGCTCCAGATTGTCCTACTTGAGCGCAATCTCTTGGCCATCACAACGAGAGAGAGAAAAGAAAATACAGTGTCAATGGAACATAATTGCACAAAATGGGCCTAATTTGCACAAATTGATTTTTTAAGAAAGTGTTAGAAGCTATAATTTATCTGAAGCAATGCGACTCTAACGTCACACTGTCTTCTTTCCCCATTGATGATGGAATTACACTATCACCAAAACGTTGAATTAATTTCATTCTTACGCATTCACGACCAATGTAATGATTCGGAATTAGTTTATTTTGGGTTAGATCGTTGTTCAGCTCAGCTTTTGTTTAACATCCGTGTTGCCCACGGCGCTTGCTGTGACCATACTTCACCAAGCTTGGTTAGTGCAGGCTGGTGACGAGGGTGGGTTTGGCTACAATCGTTTGTGACCTCTGATGTTCGTCACGGCCGGGAATCTAGCTCAGGTGGTCGAGTTCATAGTATGCTGCGCGTTCAGATTCTCGAATGTTCGCTGCCACTGATGACTGTTCAGCTATTGTTGGCTTGAATTCTAAGTTTTATTTTTATGGCTTTTTACAAGGGAGACGAGTCCGATCCTAGACTCGTAAATCTGTTTACGCACGACAGCAAACGCTACGTAGCATGGTCATAGTAGCTCTCAACAAATTAAGGCGCTATAGTGATGTATCTATCTTTTCGTGAAGAAACACGGATGTTTAAGCGAGCGATGCATGCATTGAATTGTGAGCGGCGAGAATTGAGGATTTCATAATGATACAAATTAGTCGCGAACATTACGTCTCGGCTCATGGAACTAACGAGATAAGGATAAAGATACCGAACAAATGAGATGGGCAGTGCTGACAAAACAATGCAATTAAACTACAACAACAACAACAAAAAGTACCGATTCTTGAATCCAATCGTGACGGCGAATCGTGACAATCGATTCGTGGGGGGGCGAGGGGATAGTGAATCATTACCTAAGACAACCCTACAATGGGCTAATTAATTCCACTTTCCATCCAATTATGTTTGCTCCATCAAACAAGGCCTCATCAGCCACATGCCCGAGTGGCCACAGACATCCACTTATCTGTCACTTCTCTCACAGAGGAAGGCGCCTGTTGTGTTCCTGTATGGGCACAATTCTACGGCATGCCGTGTCACTTCTAGAATAGGAAATAATAATAATTCTCAGGCCATTCTCAATCCACCGATGGACTTCTGTTTATCTTTTTTTTTACCTTGCCGTAATAATTTCTGTCGTAACAATTTCTGCCTTGTGATTCAACAATATCAGATATACGGTCAAAATTCAAGTTGGTTATTTGCAAGGTCGCGTTTGCTGATATGATTCAATCGCCCGTTAAATCGAAGCCACCGCGAGTTTACTGAGCACAATCGCTCGGTTGCTCGACGGAGTTGAGACACGAATCACGGTCAATGCGCACAGAGTCACAGAGCAGAGTTATGTACGTATGTACTGTATGTTTGTTGAACTTCTTTCACACGGTACGTAGCCAACCGTGCTAATCGGAGGTGCGCGGGGCAACAATCGGAGGTGCAGGAGGGACAGAGAAGGAGAAGAAATGGAACCTGAGCAACCTGTGACTGCGAACAGAGGAGAATGAGATTCCCAGCTGTTGACGTTCACGCCAAGAAGTAACACATTGAGAGGAGGGCGTGATCCATGAAAACTGAGACTTCACTTTTACCGTTTGCAAATTGAGTGGCACCCGATTCTGCAGCCAATTGTTTGTATTGTATAGAAGTGTAACGAATACCCTCTGTGCTCTTGGCAATGACTGATATCATATAAAATGTAATATCGACATTGACAAAACTATTCTATAACGTCAGTCATTTATATTAAATTGTAATGCTCACTTCGCGTTTTTTTTTTAAACGTCCATCATATTTACGTGTCCTTTGATATTATATCCTTTCAGCTCAATGCGTGACAATGCCATTGGGGCAGTGTTCAAAACATGAATGCAATGCCCAACCAGATATTGATCTGGTCAGTCGGCAGTGGAAATCCTCGCCATAAATCAATGTCAATGCCAGAGAAAAGGCATCAATCGCGGTCACCGTTTGTGGCTCGTATTCACGGCTCGCACACAAATGGCCACTGGGCCCCACCAGCCACCACCAGCAGAAGGAGAGAGGGCAGAGGTTGGGAGGCCAAAGATCCATGCGCAGGGACAGACGAAGGCAGGGGGGCTTCCACCTAAATTCTCTCGGTCTCTCTTGGCGACAGGAGTACACTGCGTGCATTAAGTGGGGGGGGGGGGGGAGCTGGGGGGAGGATAGAATGCGAGTAAAGTAGAAAAGACAAATGTGTCCTCGTAATAACGTTTGCGGGAATAACGCGCCACGCACATAACGGACGCTTGCCGCGGTGTTGACGGTTAGCAACCTCGGATTTGCGGTGCAGAGAGCAATCACCAAGCGCGGCAGTTGAAACAACGATGCAAGATTCTTGAACCCCTCCCCAGCCGCCTCTGTCCACCCAGGGGTATGAACGGGTTCGCCACGGTTAATCTACGATGGCAGGTCACGTCGCAAGCACCCTTACGCGGCTACATCATCAATAACCACTGTGGCACACTGTCACACACTGCCACACGTTGTCACACACAGGGCGAGGCTGCGGGGGAGTGGCAGAGTGACAATGTGGCATTCGGGTGGTTGAGGATAAAGTCTGCGAGGTGAGGAGAGCGCGCGGGAGTAGGAGGAGGGTGGGCAGGGGTCATTGAGAGCCGGCGGAATGGAACGTTGAGAGGGGGGGGGGGGGGTGGGAGGAACGGGTCACACGGAGAGTGGAAAGCATGTGGGAGGAGGATCCGGGGTCAGTTCGTGGGGAATTATGGCGTGAGGAGGTGAGGGAGCTGGCGCGTTACATAAAACATTTTCACAAGTTTTCCTCCCACATGAGCCACCGCACTGCATATCTCGTGATTTATGGGGATGCTGTGCTCTCAAAACACGCAAGCCAACGTCACGCGGCGTGTGCAGATCAATTGCAATCCCGCTTCCAAATTTTATATCCATACTAGCACGTATTGATGTTGCCTACTTTTATGATTATTAGTGTTGTTTTTGTTATGATTGCTTACCCAGTAAAACCTCGCTGAATTTCATTACTGTTTTTCAGGAGGGTCCTGCAAAGTTTTCGCAGTATGGTGGCGGGAGGGGGGCGGGTGACGATGTCTCTGTATGTTCCAATTGAGTAATTTTTGCGGCGCAATTTTCCAAATTCGGAAAATTTGGATCGTGATGCTGGCGCACAACGGCCTGCACTTGCGAACGGCGTCACGGGATCACTTAGGTCCATTGTAAAGTAAAAGCGCCAGGTCGTCTTGTCGTGGTTATTACACTCCGCAGTGTTAACCAGGGTCGGCCGCTGCATTTGAACCGTGGACATCTGCAACAAGCGGCAAGGTCGCGCTACCGATGGGCCACGTCACGGCCTTCCTAGCTCGAGAAACGTGTACCGGTTTATTCGTTTAGGAAAACCCATTTATACCAGCGACGGCTTGCTGTGGTGGTGCTCTGAGAACCCCTGGTACAAGTTGTGTAGCTTGGTCGGCTTGCTCGCTGGTCATCATGTATCATCATAGGCCTGTGTGTCTCGAGAGACAATTCTTTTGCGCCTTACGAGGTCAGCCGTAGGTTCTGCAGCGCCTAGAATGACTTAGTAGGCCAATCCTTGAGTGCCACAGCAATTGCAAGTGAATGCGGTGGCAGCTCCAGAGGTATTTAATGCTTTTTCTTTACGTCGCTCCCTCTTGGTCATCATGTAAGTATGTTGAACTTCTTTCACATCGTGCGTAGCCTACCGTGCTAGTCGGAGTTGCGGAGGAAGGTCAACAAACTAAACACTAAACGAAATTCTCAAGAAATTAGTTTAAAATCTAGATCTACAAGTGCATAGCTCCAGTGGCTTCCTAATGTCGGAAGGACCAGCGTTCTGGACGGCCACAGGAGCGCGTCTCAGAGTGCACGATGAGGTGACCGTCTTTGTTCGATGTCCAGCCAAAAGCCACTGCGAGGATGACCGTAGTTCACGTGATGCTTTATGCTCCTTGGCCCCGGTGCAGTTGCATCGTCTGCACACTCAACATCGCCGCCGCTGACTTGAGGCGTTCTCACAGTGATCAGGGAACCCTTGCATTCTTACTCAGGGCCAGAGCTTCGTTTCAGGCGGTGCAGTCCAAAACGCTGTTCTGTGAGCTAATTTGGCACGCCACATCCATGCATGTGATTTTTATAGACCTGTTCGCAGAAGAACGGAAATAGCTCCATTCGTTTCTCAGTTGTAAAGGTAAAAGAGTTAGAGTTATATCTCTGGAGATGTGTATATGTGTGACAGACCAGTCAGAGTTATTTTTTCAACGCGGTAATCAGATATAAAAAAACACGTGATGAAAGCAGCCATACTTGAGACTGTAAATAATTATCAACGCCATTGTTGAGAATATAAATAACACAAATAAAGAAGCATGCCATGTGTCTCCTTCATATATCCCATCTCTTCACTTAAAAAATATATATTCAAGTATTTTTCACACAATATGTTGAAACCGGTCTAGAGTTCTGCTTGTCTTGAAGCAATGGCTACTGAAATTACGCCCTCCCAGATGGTCGTGTGGCCGATGGCTTGCTTAAGAAATAATTCTACTTTTGCTTTAACTTTTTGCATGGACAGACGAATTATACGCGAAGGAGACGTATCGTCCGCCAATTTGAGTTCCGTGACTTACGAACTGTTCCCAAACCCCGTCCCTACACACGCGCGCGAACGACGAGACGACGTTTCGCTCGCGGGCCACCGCGGACGGAAGGGTGACCGAGGCGCAGCGCGACCCTCACCGCTTGGACGTGTCTCTCAGCAGGTAGTCGGTGAGTTCCGCTGCCGTCCGGCAGCGCCGTCGCTGTGCTCCTCCTGCTCGTCCAGGGCGGGGTGGCCCACGGGCGGCGCCGAGCCGGGTCGTGGCTCGGGCCGAGACGGCAGCTCCTGCGCCGAGCAGCGCGCCGGCGACAGCACGAGAAGCGCCGCCAGCTGCAGCAGCCGCAGCAGCAGCAGCGCGCGTGGCACGAGCCGCATCGTTCTCGCCGGGGAATCTGCCGACGCGTGCAACGACAACGGCGACGACGATTACGCGCGCGTAGTAATAAACTCGAGCTAAGAACGAAACTCGATTTGAAGATTTCGTGACTGCAGGAATGCATACTCTTTGGGTCTTTCGGTAAAGTCACGTAGGTAGACAAAATAACAGATCACGACGTTACGGACGCAACACAAGCGTCCGTCATCAGGCGACGGACGCTTGTGTTGCGGCCGAAACGTCGTGATCGATTATTTTTCTACCTACGTGACTTCACCGAAAGACCCAAAGAGTATAAAACTCAATTGTTTTTATTGGCCAGGTGAAGCCCACTGAGCTATGAGCTCTTTATCAGAGGCGACCTGGCCACATCACAGCGGCTTATATTCGCACCTCCGATTAGCACGGTTGGCTATGTACGGTGCAAAAGAAGTTCAGCTTAGATGCATACCATCTTCATATGTGGGAATTTATAGTCTCTAAACACATGTTTCTAAATGTTAAGAGCAACTCCGGAGGACCCGGAGAAAAAAAAAATCTACGCAGCCACCATGGGCTGAGAAAATAAACGGACTCCAAATATACAACAGGCATCGTCGGGGTAGGGAGGGAGATTGCACCTCCCCACTGGACTTGCAATCCATCAGTTGTGTTTTTGATTGGCCGCACGCAGTTTGCAGAGCTTCCCGATAACGCTGAGGCTGATGAGTGGAATCAGTCCCGTCTATGTATGTATGTTGAACTTCTTTCGTACCGTACGTAGCCAAGCATGCTAATCGCTCACATAGACCTAATCGGAGGTCTATGTGAGCTGTCAGAATGTTATTCCGGATGAAGGGGGAGGGAGAGCGTAAACTGGAGGAGGGTGAGAAGAATGAGGAGGAGTGGGATTTGGAGGAGTTACCGACTAAGAAGCCGTGGAAAATTTCAGCGACCGTGAAAAAGCGCTGAAGAAGGAAAAATAACCAAATCTTGCTGATTGCAAAACAATGAAAACAATGGAGATGAAAACACGCATTCAAAGAATATGTCTCTTGACTCGTATATCTTTGGTCTTTGTGATTAAATTTCAGTTCCCACGCTATGGCAATTACATCGCGTTGTAACATCGTTGTTGCATCCGTTCCTGAATCTGTAAGGTTTACAATAACGTGTTGCCGACATTGTACATCGTGTAACAGATTGTTGAAACTTAAAATAAAAAGACTTGGGGGTGTCTCCTTGAGGTGGTGCCAATCTCAATAGGCGACACTTGGCCAGCAGTTAAAATTCCACAACACCTACCCCATCCCACCACCCCCCTAGTGTTTCTGTTGTATGACATACACTTCCCATTGTATTACAAACGTACACATCTAATGCTCAGTTCTAGATTTGAAGCTTTCGTGACTGCAAGGATTCATATTCTTGGGTTTTTTCGGTAAAGTCACGTAGGTAAAACATCAAAATTAATAAAAGTAAAATAAAATAAAAATCACGACGTTTCGGAGGCAACACAAGCTTCCGTCTTCAGGTGGAACCGTCACAGCCACGACAGCTGTATCAAGTAAATGAGAGATTACAAGAGCTACCACTCCGTATATTGGTAGCTCTTGTAATCTCTCATTTACTTGATACAGCTGTCGTGGCTGTGACGGTTCCACCTGAAGACGGAAGCTTGTGTTGCCTCCGAAACGTCGTGATTTTTATTTTATTTTACTTTTATTAATTTTAATGTTTTACCTACGTGACTTTACCAAAAAAACCTAAGAATATCTAATGCTCAGTTGCTGGGCACATATCTCAATGTCAGCATTACGTCAGCATTAAGACACGTCTTCCTCTTGTCACCACATGCAAAGGCAAATAGATATCTGCATTCCGCGTTCTATTTTTATGCAACGCAACATAAACTGGGCTCCGTAATAGAGGTTTTTGGGTTAGATCGCGTAAATATATACATGTGTCATTAAACCCGCCACCACCCGACACAGCCAGCTAGTAAGGGTGGTCACGTAAACAGAACGTGCCAATTCGTCACTAGTACAGCACACCGGTGTGTCGGAGAGCCAAGCCACAACATTTACAATCTGAGTACCACGTTTCGTTAGTAATGATAGCTAGCTTCATCAGGCGACAGCCAGATTTGTGGAGAAGGCCTCCTGTTTCGTTCCTTAAATAGAGGCGTAGATGTGATGACATCACTTATGTGCTCTTCATGCGCGAAGTGGAGGGGGGGGGTTAACGAATGCATCTAAATGACTGGGTATCCATTGCCGTTCGGGTTATTGATATGGTAATCAACTTACATTATGCACGCGCATTATGCACGCCCATTGTTCTTGCACCTCCTGTCGATTGTGTGCACTAAAATAGCCGTACCAACGGCAATCCCTATTGAAGTATGGTGACCTGTATAGGCACGCACTTAAGCGAAGTGTTACTTGATGATTCGCTCCCAAGCAACACTAACTTGGGCCGTTGTCTAAATGCGACCGCGTCCCCAAGACGTCGTACAGAAAGAGGAGCACGATGGCGCCCAATCGTTCAAGGTGTTGTGGATCGCGATCCAGCACACTGGCCACGCGCCGAAGCACGTGAGCATTTTCTTATCAGTTGGTTCCGTGTCGGGTGGAGGAGGGTGTACGACACACATTGCTACTTCTGCGATCTGACCAAAAAAAATAAACCGTGAATCACGATATTGGTCGCGCAACGCCTGCTTGCGTGTTCAGAGAAGACGTCCATCGTGACCAGAGGGTGAGGTCTTGAGCGTGGACCCAGTGCCGGGTTATTCTAGGAGCAAAAGTGTAGCTACTTAGCTTTTAGCTGCTACATATGTAGTAGCAACACAAGTAGTAGCTACATATGCAGTAGCTACGGGCCCCACACTTTCAAGGTCTCCGCGCTAAATGCTTTCAAGCTATAAATTCCGGTTCAGTGATTCTGCACTTGCTCTATTACTATAGGACTATACTGCCTTTAACTTTTATGAACGACTGGGAGTTTAAGGGTAGCGATTTGTCGTATTATCTGGCTGCATAGAAAATGAAAAAATACAATTACTTTACTATGCAAGTTAAAATTATTGTTTTAATATTTATGTGTTTCTTTTTTTAATTTAGGGCCCCTTTATAACTTATGCTACAGGCCCCGCACTAGTTAAACCTGGCACTGCGTGGACTTGAACTAGGGCAAGGGAGATGACAGCACGGATGACGGTGGGAATGCAGTTCTGGACACTCGGACGCAGCAGGGCGGCGGGTATAAGCGACCTTCGTAAATGTTGAGCCTCACATTTACAGCGATTGCCATTTGCGATAAAGTGCAATCTAATAATGAGAATAATAACCATGGATTGTGCATGGTTGAGAATTGTGATGGGATTCCGATGGAGATGACATGAGGTGACTTTAAAAGCTCAATTATTTATGCCACTCCACAGTCAGTGCCTACAGCTGTACTTGCGCACGATTAAGCAGTCTACAAGGCACCAGTCAGATATGCGCCCGAATGCTTATTTTAAAATATAAAATCGCAGCGTGAATATTCCTTTCACCACAGGCAAAAAAAATAACTTAATCGATCGATTTTATTTTTTTTACAAAGATGTTTTTTCATTCCAAACTCTCGCCGTATGTTTTAACTGCCTTGTTTGGATACATTCACTCGCAAACCATTTTTGACCCATGAGGCGTTCCTCTGCCGGGGCTGTTTTTGGCTACAACAGAGCTCTATCCTAATGAGAAACCATTGAGTGCAAACGTAGTGACTCCAACCTCCTGGTATTTTTTAATCAATTACATCCCAATCGGTGCTACCGGTAACGTGGCACGAGCTGAAGATATTTAATTTCCACACTTTCACAGCCAGAAGAGCGAGATCACACAACTCCAGCATTTACGGAGTCATTTCTATTTCACCGCAGCTTTCTCGTCTTAACACACACAGCATGTCGACGCCACAATGGTGTAATGGTACCCTGGACTTATGATCCAGAGGTCGCCGGTTCAATTCAATAGCCCCGCTCGAGGAGGCCTTGCAACCAGCCAGCGGTGTAGATCAACACGTTGCAGGGCTGCACCTTTACATTTCCATCAAAGACAAAGATCCCCCGTACAGCCTGTAACAGACTGCTGGGGCAAGTGCTGTTTTCGAGTAGCACCTATGAAGGCCGGCACGGCACACGAGCGGGTGAATAGCCAGCACCACGCCCGATCGCCTTTGTGGCGTCGTTTACACACTGCGCCAGGTATTAATATGAGGCTCAGTCGACCTAGGGGAGGCCCGGGACCGGTACAGATAATTGCCACTGGTGGTGGCCGTGAGTGGAAATCGAACTCGGGTCGCAGGGTTCGCAGCGCAGCACGCTAACCGCTACACTACCTACACGCCCTTTGCATCTAACACCAGATGACACTCCTTCACGCTATATAAACTGCGGAGCAAGGCATGCCAATGCAGCTGCGAATCCTGGTTTCATCGCACGTGTCGGAGTCCAACTTTGGCGTATCAAGGTCTCTGAGACAAAAAGGGCTTCATAGCTCATCGGATTTCTCCAGGATAAACAAAGATTCTGATTCTAAACAGTTGAGTTTGCCGGCAGCAGTCTGCAGGGACTGGGTGCGGTAGATTTTACCCACGACATTAATGTACCACTGCGTAGGTTGTCGAGGCTTTCCTGCTGTACGGCGTTTTTGGGTCGTATCCCGTGTTGCTCAGCACGACGTCTGACGAAGAAGAAAGACCGATATTCAGTTTCTGAAGAAACTCCCAAAGAATGTGGAGTGAAACGTTGGACTTCATGCCAAACAACACTTTGGTATATAAACCTGAAAGTGCATCGGAGAACTACACTGCGCTATTTATTTAATGAGAACTACTAAACAAATATTTTACCCAACAACTTAAACAAAAAATATATTTTATTGTTGATGATTAAAGTCCAAAAATGAATCTCCATACAACGTTACGTGATGGACCTACTGGGTCTCAAGGCGAGTATCCTGGTAAAAGATTTACCGCGGTGCATCAAAG